TTTTCATTACTTTACTCAATCTTTGTGTTGTTAAAACATAACTCATAAGATTTTAGGGAATATATTTTTATTACCTTAACTCTTTTATAAAGAACCATTTTTAATGATTTTTGTGCGCAGAATTTGCTTATTTTCATGGAGGATTTTTAATTGTTTTTTCCACGAACATAATTTTGTTCGAAAAGCTAAAACATATATAAATATATCTAGGTTTTTATTCGAGAAATAGAACTTTAGACAGTTCAATTTTGGAAAAACTAGCATCAAGTTTTATTTAGCCTTGTTAAGCGTGCGCTCATCATACGTGTAGTAGATGTTTTTATAGTTAATTATCGCCAGAATCAGCGAGAATTCTGAAATAATTATTTTGATTATTTATTTAATTTAATAAACATATTTTTTTAAAATCGCGCTGATTGTGATCAAAATGTTATGTCTTTTCGTTGCATCTAAAGATGTGTCTAAGACTGAATAAAAGTATTTTTATTACATCTGATTTTTATTACAAAACACATTTTTTAAACAGCTATTTTTATTACAAAACGCATAAATTATTTCCTACTTTTTAAAAATTAGAAGTTTCCTGTAAAAAAGACTTTTTTTTTTCATTTCTTAAAAACGCTTTTAAACTGTTTTGGTATTTTTTCTACCGTAGTAAAACTAAGCGATCATGATTAGTTACACGACTCTCATTTTTGTCCACAATTAAGGTTACCACTTCCCTAATTTCCGGCTTTTATCAACCATTTTTTTTCAGTAGATAGACAATTTTTTAATTCTCATCCTCTTAGCCTTCAATCTAGAAGACAAGAGAATACCTGGTTAAAATATCATGTCATTCTCTGAGAAGAATTTTTTTTAACGAAACTAATCGTCAATTGCGCAAAATGGAGGTAAAGCCCACAAAAACCTCTCGTGGTTAGCTCGATGTCACTGAAGCTCTAATCTGTCTTCACCAAAGTATAATTTGCATCAGCAATGAAATCTCAATGCAATCTCTACGGGCAGGGAGCAAAATAAAATTTAATCATCGATCTCTGATTTGTTATAAGTGAACTTCATCTGTTTCCGCTAAACCATGCCGATTTTTACGAAAAAGTTGCCATTAATTTTGACAAATATATAAGATATACGCTTAACATTTCGGATTCAACACTTAATATTTTAAGTGCGCGCACACATTTTAAAAATTGCTGATGAGCATCTTGTTATTTTTAATTCAAAAATAATAATTCGGTAAAAAGAAATTTTTTTGAACGTAGATATTACTGATATTATGTTAATTTCTGCTGTTATGTACTATATATACTAGTATACAGATAGATGGCAAAATAATACGAACACTTCTATACTAACTCGATGTAAACAATCTTTCTTTATCAATAAATTTTTTTGGATGATTTTACATGGCAAAACTATTTAAAGATCATACTTAAAGTTTTTAAAAATAATGTCTTTCCTACCCATACAAAATTTGCACGGACTAGAATGAACATAAAAAGTTAAGAAGTTTTTTTTTTCCTTTTTTAATACCACAATAATTCTAAAAGCATTTTTAAGCAATATCACTATTCTATGGAACAAGTATGGATTTTTTTATATGTGGTGAAATAATAATTAATAATATATAATATGAGTTTTATATTTTTGAATTTCTTTTCATTACTTTATTAACAACTAACCACTAATTTAACTACTAATTTCATTCTAATTACCCCCTTGAGTCCAGGGGCGGATCCAGAAATGTTTCCTGGAGGGGGTCATAGACTCTGATCCCCCCCCCCACATACACACATAACAATACAATTAATTTTTTTTATAAAAAAAAATTTTTTTAAATATTTTTTTTGAAAAAAAGAAATAAAACTGGGGTTTTTAATGCTAGTCTTCTCATTTATTTTTTTCATAATGAACAATAGAACAATACATAAATAATTCAAGTACTATTCAAAATCTTTAAATAATAAATGTAATGCGTTTTTTAGAAACTTTGGCAAATGTGTCAATGATTTTTTTCAACATCCAAATCAATTTCTCGATGAATGTTTAATAAGGCAAGTCCATTAAAATTCTCAATAACATATTGATTGATGGGTACAAATCGATGTCACAGGCATTAATAATCTTGGAAAGATCGTTGGGCACTTCAAGTCCTGCTTTGATTTCACGCTGCCATTTTGCAAAAAATAAATCGATTTTTCCGACCTGCCTAGATGTATATGCCCCCTTAAATAATTTTTAAATATTTTATTTCTTTTGTAAACTATTAAAAAAAATTATTATTTTCATTTATTTATTTTTTTCAATTTGGGGGGGGGGTCATGACCCCTATGACCCCCCGCTGGATCCGCCGCTGCTTGAGTCTACAACTATCACTTCACTTCGTAGACTGGATACTCGTTATTACTTAGTCCTAGTTTCCACAGTTTTTCAGAAAATCGCTGATATTAAAGCTAAAAAGAAGTTATTAACTTCTCGTTTTGGTCAGTCCGAATTTAGCACGGGTAAAAATGACACCATTTTTAAACTTCAAACTCGATCTTTCAAATTTCGCCATGTAAAATCTTCCTATACATTTGTTGCCAAAAGAAAAATTGTTCACATAAAGTATTTTGTCACCCACTCGTAGGTACCACGATACTTACTATTAGTAGGTACTGTTGAAATAGGTTTCTGATAACCCACCGAATGAGATAAGTACCGTTTAAAATTGTCAATTGTGGTAATTATTTAAGAATCAGAAGTCGGCCTCGAGGAAAAGCATTGTGCCAAATGATACTGAATATGGTTAATCTTTAATTTGTTATGACGAACCTCTCAAAACATATTTTGCTAAATCTAATATCTTTACGTGATCCGGAGGTAAGAATCAGGCAGGAAGTATCCAGACAAATAATACTAAATAAAAGAAATGGGAATTGTTTTAACTTAATTAACTGTGTCAATATATCTCTTTCAGTTTTATGAGTGATTTCTAAGTGCTGATCATTACCGATTTATTGATTATTTAGCTTTTTTTCAACCCGTACGAAGAACGAGTATTCGTCGCAATAATAATGTACTGAAAAAATTACCTAAGCACAAAATGATATTTACCTTCAACACGACTTCGCTAAAAAAAAAAAAAAGAAAGAAAGAAAGAAAAGGAGAGGAAAAAAAATAAAATTTATTAACAAGGTAGTGTGTTTGAAATACAAAAATATAATTATACTAGGAGGCTCCGCCCCCCTGCTCGCTAACGCTCGCCAACCCCCGAGAATTGCTACGCAATCCTATGTGGTCCACGCCGTGTACCATGACTCGCTGCGCTCGCTCGCCAATGAACACAATGTTCTAGCCCAAAGACATAGCATTTTATCATCAAAGACATAGTATTGTAGTTTAGTATTGTACATGTATAAATAAACGCGAAATATAAAAAAATTCGGGTAGACTATACTTGAGGGTGCCCCCGCCAAGTTGCGATCGCGATTGATCGCCAAGCTGGGCGATGTTGAAAACCAATCGTGATTCTGATTGGTTTAGATTTTAATCNGTGAAATAAGCAGAAGTTCTTTATAGAATAGCCGTAGATTGGTGCCATCTGAAGCAATTGTTTCTGAATATGCCAAAAATTGAGTTTTACAAATCATTACCAAAAGCTAGTTTCCCAAATACTTCATGCCTAGAAAATCAGGTCTATGTTTGCTTCCTTTTATTTATGTGTGAACAAGTGTTTTCATCTACAAACCTGAGAAAAAATCATTTCGGAAGTAGTTACCTAGAAGTAGTTTACCCTTGTTCCTTAAAATAAGTACATCTCACTTGGAACCTTAATATAAGGAACTTTTAAAAATGAAATCGCAATTTCATTCATCTCATTAAATATTTACATTGAAAATTGCATATAGTATTTTTTTTTATTTTAGATGTTTTTATTTAGCCCACCAAAATTTTTTTTCTTCTATTTTTGGCCCTCGACCAGAAAAGTTTGCCCATCCCTGGGCTAAACCATCACCTCCATCATCAGAAGACCTCCACGCGGTTATTTATAAGTATTCTGAACGGACTATTTAAAAAATTAACCGGTTGTTCGCATGAACCCAAATTCCATTTTAGGAATAGGTCTGGTCTGTTTGGTCCAGCTGGGCTCCTGAGGTCAATAATGGCCCTTATCCCATTCATCCTGTAATGAGAACATAAGCAAAAACAATAGACGGATTACATAAAATGCAACAAATAATGGCACATGTATTGTAGTCCCTGGTTCCTCCAAACTTCCTCCAAGTGTAAGAGATGCTTATCTATTATGCTTTGCCAAGAGCACTTTTCACCCGAAAGAAACTCAAATAATATCACTTACCTCCTTTAGAGTATCTTCGAAAATAATACATTTAACAATATATATGAATATATTTAAATAAGACCAAAATAAAAACTCTCCCCGAGAAATCTTAACTTTTTAATAAATGTCACTTTCCTGCTTTTTCCACTCAGCTATTTAATACGTAACGCTAACGGGACTGAGACTCATTATTTCAGTTTTTTCAACTATTCAGTTCAACTATTTAAGTTTTTGTTAATGTTTATGTTTTCTTAAATGTTTATGTTTTCCTCATAAGGAAGATGATCCCCGCAGCAAGGTAAGAGGTTCAACCGGTTCTATTTACGCAACAAAATCTGCTGCAAAAACGGCTTTTGTTTACATTCAGAACAATGATGAGATCTTTATGAGGAAAATACTTACGTTTTGGCTTCAACCACGGTTAACAGTTAACTTATCTACGCCACAAAATAAAAATTTGTCTGATAATTCACTGTCATATCGCTAGCTCACTACCAAAATTCTTAACCAGAAAGTAATATAAACAGCCTCTATGCATTTAAAATGTGTGTTTTTGTATTCAATTATTACTTTTCTATTCATAGTCTAAGAAACACAATGCTTTACAATACCAAGATGTTTTTACGAAGGTTATTTCGCTTCCTGCTATTTATCGAATTTGTTGTTTATTTAATAGGTGTAGGGAAAGCTGCTGCTTTTGATTTGGCCAGGAGGAATGCACGAGTCTTGCTAGCGTGCAGAAACATCGAGAAAGCTAACAAAGTAGCCGAAGAAATAAAAAAGACGACGGGCAATCAAAACATTACAGTCAGATGGTTGGATCTGAGCTCTTTCGATTCTGTAAGAGCTTGCGCAAAAAACGTTTTAGAAACCGAAAGCAAACTGGATGTCTTAATTAATAATGCAGGAATATTAGGTAATATATTTCTTATTAGTTATAGCTCGAGTGTTATACTTCTTGCATGCCCTCCAAACGACTACGGAATTTTCGTATTTTTGGAAAATATTTTTCTTAAAGGGTAATGAATTGATATTTTAATAAGTTAAAATAAAAAACATTTTACCTAGTACTTCAAATTAATTTTTAAAAGGTATATAAAAAGTAAGCTACACAACTGGTCACGTTCATTTGATCAGTTCTGCTCCAATGTCATCCATTCCGCTGCTTTTTACGCTAAACAGTCTCAGTCGCTTCAGGGCTCAATACAGATAAAGAAATGAGGTGCCCGTTACAGCGGAGGCATGTACTTCGTGCCAAAACATATCAAGTCAACTGGTCATAAATCTTTACCTCTGGGGGTACTGGATTGGGGATCGATTGTTCTCTGATCCAGATCAAAAAATACGATCTGTGGATGAATGAATGGGTCCGCCTTATAGACGGGTATGACGTGTGTGTGGCTGAAGATGGGCTCACTGAAAAACAAGAAGCACACCCTCTGCCTTAAATTTGCTCGGTTTCACCAAGCAGGCTTACTAGTGTGGCAAGTCGCATTAGAAACAGCAACAACAACAGTTTATCAACAGTTAGAACTCCCCCCGCCACAAAGTCTGAGGTCGTCTGCTGCTATGGAAGCAAGAATAGTACATTTTAGGGATGGTAGCTTCTCTTCACTCTAGGGCTAGACCGAAGAAAAATATTCTCTTTCTCTCAGCGATCCAGGCCAAAACATGTCCTAAACAGTGACCTCTATTTGATACAGTTATACCTCGTTACCATAGTCTTCGCCACGGGTTCAGACAAATGACATGGGGAGTTCTTACTTTAGACAAACTATATTTGAGTCCTCATAAAGTTTTGTAAAAGTTTTATTTCATTTACTTCTGCACACTAGCACTTGAAAAAATATCGCATACGAACCTTCCATGTTTAGGCCTGCCAACTACTACGCTGTTTTTCAAGATATTTTATAGAGTGGTAAACATTTTAAAGCCATGACTTTCAATATTTTTGATAATTTCGCTAACATTTTAAAAGGCTCACCACAGCAATTCTGGAACAAAGTGGCGTTGTATCGATGAATTTTTAAATCATTTATATGTAGAGGTGTGGAAAATAAGTTCAAATAAATGAAAAATAATACATTAATATACAAACTTAAGTAGTATCTTACTAGAATAAATGTTTACAAAAAGCGTGGAAAGTCGACAGCGTTGAAAGCCTATATATATGAAGACAGAAAAAAGCAAAAACTGGTACGAAAGACATTTTATTCCAGCATTTTTTTCGAGAAAAATAAAATATCTGTCACTAACAAGATTTTTTTTTCAATTATAACATATAAATAAAATTACTCCTTCCCCGAAAATAAGTATATATTATTAAATAGTTTAAAAAAACGAATAAGCTCACTCCTCCCTAAAACTGGTTTTAAGTAAAATGATATAACCAGCTTTTTTTTTTTTCCATATCGCTTTCAACACTGAATGATTTTAAGTATGACTCCTCGTGTTTCTCTTATTTGTCCACGTTGTGCTTTTTGCCCAGCAATAGGTATGTCAGTTAAAAAATAAATAATAACTTAGCAAACTTTAATTAATAACAATGATAATAATGAAACGACGAAGAGTTAAAAATGCGCTAACTTAAGCTATACATACTAAAAAAGAACTTAACAATAAAAGTTTTAAAACTTTGGCTTTGTGTGCTTAAAAAAGTAAAGCAGTGTTAAGTCATTGAGGAAAAAAACTATAGCACGTTTGTTTAGCAACTTTTTCCCAAAGAATATCTAAGATTTGCTCTTTCTTTCAGAGGGTGTCTGAAAAGTATAGAAACTATTTAAATATCTCGAGAATAATACGCATTGGATCAAAAATCTAAAAATATATAGGTGAAATATTTTCAAAAGGTGCATTTAATGTTAAATAGAAGACCCAATTTATTTTTTATTGCAGATTTGGATTCTCCAGAAAAAAGTACCCCAATTTATCTGGCAGTTTTTTAAATTTTGGTTTTAGCAAAATATATACATTCACACTTTTCTTCTTCTTCTTTTTTTCTTTTTTTTGAATTAATACGATTTAAAAGATTTTGTTAATTAACATTTAAATAAATCAAGCATGTATATGGTAAGCCTGTTAACTTTCTGAAAATATGTTTTCAAAACTCTAAAATGGAACTCTGACTTAACGCTTACTGATCCGTCAAATCGTGACTTACAATCTCCAGTCTGATGTAGCATCTCCCCACCATTGCTAGAGATACTTAAAAGCAGGGCTCGAAAAAGCTCAGAAATTTTACCCGTCCCCGAGGACGGCTTGTCCAACAATGCACCCGTCCTCCGTTGAAACTAACCCGTCGCTTTTAAATAAATAAAAATATAATTTTCTCCTATTTATTACAAACATTTATATAAATTGCACAATGAATTAGTCGTTACTAGGATTACATTATACAGTAATAAAAGAAATACTAGGTTACTAATAGTAACCTAGTATTTCTTTTATGAAATAATTTAAATGACAAGGGTCAAGTTATCTGGAATGTCAAGTTATCCGAGGGTACTGCGTTTTTTAAATGAATCAAATATGACGTTTGCCAGTTCCACAATCAAGCCAATGATTTACAGAGGTTTCTGAACAGAAATCTGAAAGGGGTTTTCCATTTAGGTAGATGTTCATAATTGCTTTTAAAGCTTCTTGTTTAAGACCAGTACGTATTGTGTTTTTTTGTAAGTTTATTGCTGCAAAGCCCCTTTCAACCGCTGCAGTACTCCCAGACAGAGAAAACATCAATATATGCGCAGTATGTTGCTGTATTGTGGGTCATTTTGCTGCCTTGTAACTTACAAGACTCTTGTAAGATAACAAAAATTGAAAATGTATCACGAACATTAACGGGAAAATGGCGGTCCGCGCGGACGTCGGATTCGAGAAACTCGTTATCCGCGGAGAATTTTTGACCGTCGAGGACGGGCGGACGGGCTGTTTTTCGAGCCCTGCTTAAAAGATGTCAGAATAATATACTCGGAAAAATTCGATGCGATCACAGAGCCAATTAAATTATCGGAGTTAATAACAATTAGAATATCAACTGCAGCATCAATCACCTGCATTGTTATAAATATAATTTGTGTGTACCAATAGTTGATTAAAATAGTGAAGGATTAATTAAATTTGTGAGATACGATACCTTCATTCGTATAAAAATGTGATAGGGGCCTGCTTTTAGCCTCTTCAACTAACATTTCAGCTTTAAAAATATTGTTTTAAATAGCAGCTTAGCATTTTTTTTTCTTTTTTGTGTGTAAAATTGTGTATTAAGTGACACTAATGTTTCTGAAAGGATCTTTTATTTAAAAATTTTGTGTATGATAAAAGAGGGAGCTCTTCTCATTTTTCTGAGTAATTTATTTTGGAATACATTAAGTTTTTTTAGCATATACGAGTACTTCACTAAAATTGCAAAAAATTGCACCAAGCAAGGGATGCATAGCTAATTATTGGTTTGTTTTACAATATAAAATGTATTTTTGCTTGTTTATTCACACCCACAACTTATTTTTGTATTTAAACTTGTATAATTACGTTGTGACTCACTTTATTATACTTTAATGCTAAAAAGTATTCGTTTTTTCCCTTAAAATAAGCATAGAGTATTTTTATTTCAGGTGTAGCAGGACAAAAAATGACACCAGATGGTTGTGAATTGATCATGCAGTCCAATCATTTTGGACATTTCCTTCTCACACGTTTGCTCTTAGGTATAAAATTACGTCATTCATTCATTTACTATTTACATTTTGGGCGAGGCTGGTATAGCCTGGACGGTCGTGAGTTCGATCCCCGCAGGCCGACGACTCCCGGCGTAGTAAAAGGTGACTGGTACACGTAAATATGCCTGATCACAAAGTCCTCCATGTTCCCATAACAGATCAATATCTCTGGAGGTACTGAATTGGAGATTGATCGGTCTCTGGTTCAGGTCAAAATTACGATCCATGGATGAATGAATGGGTCCGCCCTATAAACGGGCCGTGACGTGTGTATGGTTGAAGTCGTATTCTTGGTCATAGATGGCGCAAGAAACGCACCTACTGCCTTAAATTCGCTTGATTTCACCAAGCAAGCCTGCTGGTATTTGGGCGTTTCATACACAAGCGAATTAACTTTACCTCTGATTATTTTTGAAACAAATTTTTAATTTAAACCTTTACGCTCCGTCAACAGACCATCAAAAGACACCACTATAAAATAAAATAAAAAATTTATATCATAATTAATAACCTTAATATTTAAAAAATGTAAATGTAAATTATGTAAAAATATTGTATTGTGTATTTTAAATGATTTAGTGCTTATATTAACTCAAACAGCATTTTAAAGTTACCGGAGCAAAAAGGGTTAAAAAGCTTTCACAAACTTCAAAGATTTATATTCAGGTATATTTAGTTTTACATACATATTCCCTTTTACTCCGACTTGGAGCATAGGACTTCTATCATAGCTTTCCATCTCACTCTTTTTGTTGCCATATATCAATCTCCATGTCTTTCCTATTGTTTTTCAATTCGTTTACTATCATCTTGCGCCACGTATTTTTATGTCTTCCTCTTCTTCTTTTGCCTTGAGGGTTCAAAAGTTAAATTTTTTTATTTGGTTTTATTGTTTATTTCATTTTATAAGATTTTATTGTTTCTTTAAATTCTATTGTTTTTTTTTCTTCCTAATTTATAAACTTTTTGACCTCGAATACCATGATTTCCGTTAATTGCTTTACGTTTCTTTGCCACTCAGAGTGAAATTGTTTCTGTTTTGAATAAAACAAAATGTAAGAGAAATTCCAAATATAACTGTTCAAGCATTTGAAAGAACATTTGAAATGAACAATATCTCAAATAAAACAGATTAAGGAGATAGAGAAAACACAAATAATAAAACATATACTGTGGCATGAAAGTAAAACAGAATTTAGTAGAAATTCACGAGCCTTCAGCTCCAAAACAATTCTTTGTCTGAAGACATGAAAATAACGTTATAATTTTGTAGTGTTAAGGTCTAAAGGTCATAGCTACAAAATGTCGCTTACCCACAAAACATTGTTTTTGGATTGGGTGGGTAATATTGCAAATCTTATTATTTCGAGAATGAAAGTTGTTTCTTAAAAAAGTAGATTGCTGCTCAAATTACGCATGTACCGTCAAAGTTACAGTTAACTCAGAATTCATACCCACCTGGAAAAAATTAAAAAAGTGGTAGTAATGTAATAATTTTTTTTTAATGTTATATTTGTAGCTAACAGAATATTTTATTTTCTCTAAGTAAGATCCAAAGGTGGTAGGTAGGAAATTATATTTCCATAGTGGAAGTTAATATTAAGAAATTTTAGGTTTCTTTATAACAAAATTGATACCAGTTATTAATTTTACTAGGTGCGTACGAACCCTAAACTGATACACATTTATTGGAAATGTGATCGTAATAATCCAAAAATTTAAAATTCGACAAATTGTTCAAAAGTTATTTAATGTATTTATTTTGTTTTATTTTATTGTATAAATGTAGCACGCCTTTTGCAGAATATTTTATGGAGTGGTAGACAATAAGAAACTGAAGCTTTCAGAATTAATTTTGTTAACATTTTAAAAGCTTTACCACGAGAAAGTTCGAACAAAGTGACGTTATATGTCGCTCATGTCTGTGCGTTATGATGTTTTATGTCGCTAAGTGACGCACCTTTGAATCATTTACATTTTGGGGCGTGGAAAAGAACTTTAAATCAAATTTACGAAACAAAGAATCTATTAAAACATTAACTTTGCTACCACTAGAATAAATTTTCACAAAAGGTGTAGAAAGTTGGCAGCTTTGTAATTAATGTAGAAAAAAAAATATTTTCATTTTTTACTAAATTTATTCTGATTCACCCTATTTTTAGTTATATCCTGAGCTTCTACTTGTCCTGAAAAAGATCAAATTATCAGGTATTAGAAACATTTCTTCCGGGAAAAATAAACTAGCTATAATTATGACTTATTAGACGTTAATTTTTAAAAAAAAAAAATTAGAAGTTATAATGCATATGCAGTTAATATAAATGTTTTACATGTTAATAAGTAGTGATGGTAGTCACGGAGGATTGACTTTTCTTGAAAAAGGGTAGAAACGAGTTGTCCTTTCTATCATTTTATCATCTCTTCCAAATGATCAGCACAGTCTTGGTTATATCCTCAGGTCTTCTACAAAATTGACTTGATTCGCTTTAGCTCTGATGTCTCATTTATTTTTTTTATAACTCTAACTGCTAAAATTTTCTATTTCTGTTCTTAGATTTGATGAAACGCAGTGCTCCGAGTAGAATTATCGTAGTGGCATCTTCGGGTCACAACTTTCACAAATTTGATATCAATGACTTAAACAACAATCGGAATTTACATTTCTTTTACGTTTACGCTAATTCCAAGCTAGCAAATATCTTATTCACTAAAGAATTAGCCTCCAGACTGGAAGGAACAGGTAAAATCTATTATTATTATTTTAGAAACATCGATAATACTTTTTTTAAAGCAAAAAAGTAATACAATTGCCATTTCATGCTAGATATATTCTTCAAATACATATATGAGGTTTCGGGTTATAAAATCTTCAGAGTCGACACCAAAGAAAAAAAAATTATCCTTTAAATCAAAATATTATACGGGTTTTATGTGAATGCGCAAAATTAGTTGTTCAGGTTATAGTTTCTGCTACAAAACTTGATGTAATTTAACACTAATACCATAACCGGTCAAAAGACCTGTTTTTGTAGATTGTCTTGTAAAGTGTTAGCATGTTAAGTGTTACAAATTCTTTAAAAAATCACACGAGTTATACTTCTGTTACAAAACTGCTGATTCTGTAAATAGACTGTGGTTTTTTTATCAACTACATCGCAGAGCCGCCAAATCTTTTTGAATTTTCCAGAACCTCTTATTTTTCACAGATATAGTTTTCCGCAATATTTTGGACTTTAGATTACGTAAAAACATTAACTGAACTACCACTGAAAGCAAGTTTCCCAAAAAACGAAAAAATTTGGCAGTCCTCTAAGTGTGTAAATAGTAAGTTATGACTTATGTCTGGGAAACATTAAATGGTTACACTAATTTATTTAACCGTTGAATGAACCTAGAAATTAATAAAGCATCAATTGAATATTTAATTTAGATTAATTAATGTTGTGTCCTTAAACTTATTCAAAATGTACAAGTGTGTATGTAAACATTCAAAATAGCCCAAGTTTATGTAACTTACGTTGAATGATGTTGCTTAAATTCTAATCAAATTTAAATTAATATTTGTGTTTCAATGCTTTTTTACCGCACTTTTTTAAGTTTATGTTTAATTTGTATACAATACAATAAACGGGAGAAATGCAGGTACTATTTCGTTTTCGAAGGCAGGCCAAGTTACTATTGACATCTGTGATGCTTTATTAACTGTGGACTACAGTTATTGTGGTATTAGATAGCTATATAGGTATTGTGTTAATAGATTTTTACGGCCCTAGTAAATAGAACAGTATCAAAATGTATTTAAATCAAAAGTTTCATAGACTGAATATGCTTCATATTTTTAGAGGTTTATTCAAAAAGAGTATTAGCCCACATACGAAGCAGAATTACATGCATGATCCATTGAATCCAGCTTTTCCACCGTTAAGGATTTCAAGTTAATAATGCATCCTCAAATAGAAATATTTTGAATTGGTGTATGTAGTAAAAATTCCAATGAAATTATTTCAATTCCCTTTTCTTCCCTGTGATGGACAAAAGTTGAAATCAAAAACGAGTTATAAATTGAGAGTTTAACAATGAATAAAAAAATTTAACAATAAATGGACAAAAAAAAAACAAAAAAAACAAGAAATGTATGAAACATTGAAAAAATTCAATTTAGAAATAAGAAGCGATTTGTAATACATAAAAATTTGAATACCAGATTTGAAAAGAATAAACATGAAATATATTTTTGCGGGAAGAGTCATGCATATATAAATGTACTCATTACAATTTCAGAAGTTACTGTTAATGCTCTGTGTCCGGGTTCAGTAAAAACTGATATTTTTGATACAGTGGACAGTTGGTTGACCTTAGGAACGGGATTTACCCACTTAATTGTAGGCAAGGTAATTATTTTACATGTGTTGGGGATATTTCCGTATCATGATTTGTTGCACTAACTACTATCGCAACGGCACCAAATAAATGTTAAACATAATTTTTTTTTAAATTAAAAATCATGCTCATATTTGTCCGTGGGTGACTACGCGTTATACCCTTAGAGTTGGTCCCCTTCTTTGATAATTTTTTTTCTTCTCATGGGCTATTGCTTGAAAGTTGGTTGCAATTATTCTGCCACAGATCACGCAACGGAAATCTCCCAAATGTATTTTTTGTTCTTTAAATCTATTAATATTTTTGTAAAATATGCTGAAAAAATTTCTGGTCCAGTTTTCAGTTTTTTTAATGACTTAACTTATAAAGAACAATGTTTTATGTTGGGAACTGAGCTGGCACCTCAAGTATTTGATTCTTAAGAGGTTAGCCTGCTCGGGCAATTGGAAAAATATACATATTTTAAGAATTTCGTTATTATAGTTCCGTTATTGGTTTATAACTTATAAAGACCAATGTTTTACTTTGGGAACTGAACTTTCACCTCGATTACTTAATTCTTAAGAGGTTAGGCGGCTGCTCTGACAACAGGAAAAACATGCATATTTTAAGAATTTTGTTACAGCAAGACGATGGAATGAATTAAAATTCGAAAAAAGGTCTTTCATTATACAACTAGCGAACATTTTCTAACCTCTTTGCTAAACAAAATGGCAGCTGCAGTTTTTCTTGGATGTAGGGCTGTCCTTCCACCGGTTGAAGGATTGTTCATAGGGCTAGCAACGCCAGTAATTTTTAACAAAATTTAATTTGATTGTATACAAGAACAGATACAGAGAATATAACGCAGGAATTTGTTTTTAATATTTAGATTTTTGCAAACGGTGAAAAGCAAATTTTTTTTCCAACCCAAAATTCTTCAAGAAGCAACACGATCTCAGGAATACTGTACAAAATATTAGGCAATACAATGTAAAACTCTTAATAGATAATGCAATTTTAAATTAAAATTTGAAATCAATCAGTGAAAAAGTTTTAGAGACGAATTCAGCATATGTGAAACACATAACCAAAGCTTTCCTAAATTATTAAAGAGAGCGCAGGTTATTTTTATACTTTCACTGAATTTTCAAAATTAACCACCTTCACTTTTTATTTTCAACAGACCTGTGAAGAAGGTGCGCAAACTACCATCCACCTGGCTGTTGATCCAGCACTTGAAAAGACTACTGGTAAATATTTTGTTGATTGCAAAGAGGCAACCATTGTAAAAGAAGGCCTGGACAAAATGTTGGCTAAACGAGTGTTTGATATTAGCGAAGAAATAGTTGGCATAAAATATTGAAATACTCCTATTGTATTTTCTTAGAAGTATTAAAAACTTTTGTACAGTCTTCAAAATTAAAAATATGACTTCGCATCACTTACTTTTTTATATATATTTACTATTTAATATATAATAAAAACAAACGTGTTTCGTAATCATCAAAATTCAATATTAATAATCTTAATAAATTTTGATGTCTGTAATAAGCCTGAATTAAGGTATTGAAATATTTTTTCCATTATAGTGTGTGCTTTTTCACTTATTTTTATAACATTTTGTTGCAAATTAGTATCACCTTAATTATTCAAGTTTTTAGTCTGAAAACTTCAACCAAAGTAATTTTTTTTTCTTTACATGTTTCTAAGTATATGTGCACTATCTTACCACAATGTAAATTGGTATATGTTGTTAGTAATCATCCATATGTATATGTTGGTAATCACACATACCCTGCACAATGCTGTCCACTTGTATTTTATTAAAAAATTCAAAAACTTATTTTGCTTAAACTAAAATACTATAGCCCAGGTTGGGCTATGGGAATATTTTATTTAAATTGAAAGCTGATTTTCATTGTCATAAGATTGCTCTAAGTTTTTACAGTGCAAGAGTAAGAAAAAAAACTTTATTATTCTTATGATTATTGTATAAATAAAATTAATAATATATATTTATTTAAATGATTTGTGAATATTTCTCTGGGTTAATTTAAAATATAGAAATTCGAAATTGTCTCGAAAATTTCAATAAATCGATGTCGTTAGAAAATGTAATTCATGTCATGACTTAATAAGTCTATACAAATAAAATTAGTCGACTGAAAAATATAATTCAATAACATCCCCATTGTAGTAGAAAATTTTAAAAGAAAAGTGTTACGAAAACTTTAAGGGTTGGTAAACCCACGTGTTAAATGTCATGTATCTAAATGTGTTGTGTCGCCATGTAAAGATAGCTCGCCAATTTGGCGAACGCTTCTTAATGTTTGTGTTTATAATTACTTTGTTCGTTGAGGATGCGCTATAGTGAGCATCCTGTAATAAAAAACTTGGATATCAACTAAAAATATACCGTTCTTTCGTTTGTTGAGGACATTCTATGGTGTATTGTCCTTTATTAAAACCAATCGTTAAATTTACAGTCCATTCATATATCGTCATAAACACAATCTTTTTTTTATAACTTGTTGACTTTTTACCTAAAATTTTTACTAGTTTTTTTTGTTCATAAAGCTTCAATAAATTTTTGCACTTATAATACATAAGTTTATCATCAAAACAGATCTCCCTCTCCTGTTAGAACTGACTCTGACATAAAGTTTAAAAAAAAAGTAACAAAAACCAAAAAATATGGTTATGTTACGTCAAACTAAAAATAAATACCTAAAAAAATAACACAACATGCACATGTCAACAAATCAAAATGGTACTAAAAACTGATGCAAAAACAAGAAGAAAAAAGAAACATCACTGGGACACTTCCGGGATTATGATATCCCAATTTATCTAGAGATGAATAATTAGTCAGGGAGTGCGAGCTATAATGAAAATAGTAATTACTACGCAATTGCTAAGAGTGAAAAAGTTCAAATTGTAGTATATCTTAGTAGCACCAACATTCTACTAGGTAATGTGAAAAACAAGGTGTAAGATCATGTTCAATCCCATGCTTAAACCTGGACTAATGGCGTAATCTTAAAAGCACTATTTGAAAGGGGCACTCTATTGGGATATTCAAAGTGCAGAAAAAATATATTTAAAAATTTTTAAACTTTTGCACCCATTTAAATAACTCTATAATAGATCACGGGTAATTTTTTTCTTACGCCCTAAGCAAGCATCTCTTCCCAGTTAGTGATTCCTATGTTGTTGTAAAAGCCATGTGAGTCCCATAAATAATGAGGGTAAAGATTAAGTTGGATATTTTCTCCCTGGTGATGTTTAGAATTTTAGAACATAGCAATGTAAAAATTATCAGTAAAATAACAATGTAAAAATTATTAAAGTCAAGAACATATGGAAATTGGCATGTAGATTTTAAAACTGCAAATTGGAAAAATTAACCATGAATTTTGATTTTAAAAAAAATTATGTTGATGTATGTAAAAGTATCAAGTAAACAAGACATGCCTTTGCACTTAATTTAAATTTTATTTTCTCAAATGATGTATACAATAAAACACTGTAAGCTGCCGAAAGCACTTAAATTATATCTATATTTATAGTTTCTTTATCATTTTAAATAAAGCTATAAGCATCTTCATAAAAAAAAAGCAATTATTCAAAAATATAAACTTCACAAATAAAGAGTAATAATAAAAAATAAACCGACCTTTAAGACCAGTGCAAAACATTTAAATCACAACAGAGGAACATAAAGCTATAACAATTGACATTTTAAAAATGATTACCAGAAACTGAAAAATTTGCTTATCTGACAACTTACATTTAAAAATAGCTTTGGAAGAGAATGAGACAAGATAAAAACTGGACAAATGCGAAAGAAAATAATTTAAAATACACCGAGTTTAGATGATCTTAACTAGAAATAACAATTAAAAAGAATAAACTACATAAATCACTAACTATTCATAAATTTTAAAACTGAACTGCAATTTTTAAATATATATTTCTTCTTTCTTAAAGTAGACTGCTATTCCAAGCAAGAAAATTGTTTCGTGTCTCTTCCACTGTATTTACAAGCAGGGTTGCCAGTATTCCATTTTTTTTTTAACCGGCCACACCAGCGTGCAGACAACTGAACTCCAATGGTAATGGTTTAACAATAAACATGAGGTGAACATTGTAAATGCATAAAGCGATTCGGAATGAAAGAGTCAATTAAGAATCATAGACACTATATCATACATAAGGATTGAATGTCCAGTTCTTTTGTTTTAAGCAGAAATTTCATTGTCTACAACCTCCTCCAACGTTATAGACAGAGAGCAGCTGGATAGAAAGCTGCAATTAAACCAGCAGAAAACTTCGATTGCCACGAGAAGGAATGATTGCAGATGAGGAAAGTGTCTGCGTAGAGGCAGTTGTAGATAATTTTTATTTTTCTATAGATGCATTTTATTTATTTTTTTATACTTTTTTTTCATTTAAGGAAGTTGTCAGAAAGGGGATGCTGGTCCGATGCATGAATAGTCTTTCTGAACAATTGGAGTTTTCTGTAGTGGATTAATGAGTTCACTCTCTAAACACAACAACTGCTTTATTTTTTCTTGAGGGTGAAGAAGCCTTTTTTCTTGTGCTCATCCTTCTTTTCACCGGCTGGGAGGGTTTGAGAGCGTGATGGTCCCGCAGAGCCTTCACTGCCAAAAGCAGCTTGTAATCGCTGTAGCCAAGTGTTCATTTCATCCTATAGTCAGAAAAATTCAATGCAAGGGGATGAGAGTAAGAAAAATTACTTTTAAAAAGAAAGCTAAATGATATTTAAGATCACCAAATCTTTTTTTTTTCTTTTACAAAAATTAATATTGTGTAGTTTATTAGCCAACTTCAGTCGCTTATGATTGAGGGATTCAAAACTGTTTCAGTTAGAAAAAAAACTATAAGTAAATGAAATTTATTAGTTGCTCACAGAGGACCATTACGCTGCTTTACTTAACCTCTTCATTAACTCTGTCAACATACAGGATATCTGCTAAATTTAGAGTTTTTAAATCCATGACTTCTATCAAAAACTTTTCATGACTCGTGCAGGTTAATATTTTATTACTCAATACAGTCAAAAGAAGATTGTGATGAGTGCAACTTTTTCCCGATGAGGGATCTTTTTAAATCACACAAATTTGGATTCTGATGAAGGATTTTAAAATTACAGGAATGTGGATCACGATGTGTGATTTTTAAATCGTACAAATATGGATCGCAATGTGTATTTTTTTATGTGATGTTAATACAAACTGATATGTGTGATTATAAATTTGCACAAATACGGATCACAGTGGTTGATTTTTACATCACACAAATACAGATCACAATATGCTATTTTTAAATCATGCAAATACAAATCGCGATGCGGGATTTTTAAATCCCCCACTAAGGGCTCCAATACCATGACAAACTGGGAGTTTCTATGATTTTTCAGCATTTATCACTGAAAATCATGACTTTCTATGACATTTTTCAATCAAGGTCGAACAATGAATTTCTATGATTTAGGTGAGTGGATACCCTGTTATATGTGGACCTTTGCTTCTAAAAACACACTATAAGAAAATTTATAGTTCTACTCTCACTGAAACATTCCTGGACGTTTTAGATTACTGGGGATTGCTTGATGCAGAACATTTAAGTCATTTGGGTAGAATTCCACTTAAACAGAAGTGATTTTCAAAAAATGACGCAAAATCTACATGCTCGAAAACATAAATAATTTCAAATATTATATAATTAGTTATTCTAAAAACAATTTTATTTCTTTTAACTTAGTACAGTAGAGAACCATTTATCCGGTATCCAGATAACCGGGAAAAATTTTGCTTGATTTTCCCGCCATTTTAAACTAGAACGATTTTAAACTAGAATGAAAAAAGCGGAAATTGGACTCATCCTTGAAGTTGAGTAGAGGAAAATGTAAGGAAGGGGAAANTCTCTAGTCCATCTTCAAACATCTTGTGACAAATCCTATTTTTTCTTCTTTGCAAGCACAGAATATAAGTTCTGAATATATTCCCTTCCAGTTTCTCAGATGTTGATACCCAATTTTTTTTTTTTAAAGTTAGGAGTACCTTTCTTTTTTCTCTACTTTATGCATTACACTTTTTCTTTGTACTCCGGGTTCGATAAAACATCGATTAACGACACTTTTTGGTCGATCCAGAAAACCGGGAAATTCAGATATCCGGGATAGCGATGGTCCCGAGCATCCCGGATAATTGGTTCTCTACTGTAGTTCAATAACCTGTATGAAGCTTTTAAATTCATATTTACTTAGTATTTAAAAATATACTTATCAGGAACAGTCAGATAAACATATGTGTACCTTCATATGTATGGCAACGTAGTAGTCAAGTAAAAACTCATTGTATTACGAATATTTAATTTTATATCTATTTAGTATAGGTTATAGGTAATATTTTAATTAATTGCTTCATGTTAAGTCACATACATACATTTAATAACTTTGAATTTTTTTCTTTCATAATTCTGAAATTTTAATCAAAAGAAATAGATATTTCCTTATAAATGTTAGATTCTTCTCAAGTATTATTTATTTCGCGCAGTTTGCATAATTAAAGTAGTGTTAAAACTGCGATTCAATTCAGTATTACATTGTGCTTAGATAAAACTTCATATTTTTAAAAATTCATTTTCTTTTTCTAAATAATTATTATATCTATTCATCATTATATTTAAATTACCTATAATATAACAATATACATGTTTGCTCTTACTTTATGTGCAATTTAGCATTTGAAATATTTATATTCTTTCACTTAGTTAAATCAGAAAGCAATATATGTACCAAAAATAATTAGCTCCTGGCAGTATAATTCATATTTTGTTAATCTTATTATGACATAAGACAGTAAAATAGAAATTAGGAAATTTATATTTCAGTAGTGAAAAAGTTAAATTCAAATTATAACACAAAGAAAGCAAAATCTAAAATTATTTTTAATAAATAAGAAATGTAAAAATTTTCTTTCGAAATATGATATACAACTATAAAATGTGAAACAATAGATACTTACATCATCTTTAGCTTGGAAAAGATATTCAGCACCATTAGATAATCTAAAAATAAACAATTTAGTCAAAATTAGTAATATATAATTTTTCCAGCACAAAAAGTGTTCCATCTTCTTTCTTTAAAAAGGTTTTTATTTCCAATTTTAAGATTTCTCAGAACTTAAAGCAAATTTATTTTTAAATTGAACTTTTTTCTTCAAAAGATCAGAAAGTAGAAACTTTTACTTCCTTTAAACAATTCAAATTGAATACAATATATTAATGAAAATTTTGAAATACATTTTAAAAATAAGGATATTTTCTTAACAAAAGATTTACTATTTTAAAGGTGTAAACATTAAAATTAGCACTCAATTTAGTTTACAGTTAACTTTCGAATGAAACTTAATATAATAATTCAGGTAATCTTTTCGTTAGAAAAGCATGTGTTGTCAAATCACTTAGTTTATTTATACAGATAGAATAGTTTGAAAAAAATCTCACGTGCAGCAACTAGCAGGATGGGGGAATACATGAAAATTTTAAAAAGTTTATTAATTTAAGAAAAAAAGGATTAATTAAGAAAAACTCATTTTTCAAAAGCAAAAAAATTAACAAGTTTTTTTTATTTATTAAGTCTCTAAAGGCATTAATGCGATTTGACTGCAATTCAAGTAATAGTACAAGGGTAAATTGAAGTTGAAAAAGTTAAAATTATTGTTAACAAGTTTTATACACTCAAAACATTATCAGATTATATAGTGAAAAGTTCATAAAGAAAGAAAATCTAGATCTAGATTTGTATTCACACTCATTAGAGATCTAGATTTGCATTCACATAGATTAAGAATTTTTCCTTTCCTGACATTTTTGATCAAATCTATGATATTTCTAAGCTTAAACTGGGTCGCACTTTCTATGATTTATTGAATTAATCAAAATTTCCTGGCATTTATAATTTTTAAGAAATAACACCAGTTCGGGTTATATAATTCCTAGGGTTCAACTGTATTAAATATGTTTCAACAAAAAGCAAACATTGAAATTATGATTTTCGTATTTTTGAAACAAAACACAATATATTTAAACTATCAGATAAATTTTATTTAGAAAGTTTGTATATGAAATTATTACTTAAGTCTAAGAACGTGTTTCCTTTTAGTATAATCTGAAGGAACTTCTGCAGTGCCCCCTCTGAGATCAATGGGCTGTTCATTTCTATAGTAATTTTCAGGCTCCTGTGAGGAAAAGTAAGGAACAATTAAAGTTTACACATCATACAAGTCACTGAAATAGTTTATTTGAATAACAAGAAGGCACTCACCTGTTTGTAATGCCTTTGGTCCTTATAAGCGAATAATTTTTTGCCCTGAAGAACAATGTATATTTTGTCCCATGATCTACAATGCAAAAGTTAAACATAGTAAATTATGTTACATAAAAAATAATTGCAAGCAAATAAATACTTTTAAGACTTAATTCATAATATTATAAAACTTTAATTTTTAATAGAAGTTAAATATTCTGTATGTATATAATGACAAAACATCACACTTTAATTTTGTGTAGATAAATAGTTGATTCTCTGAAATCACTGAACATGATTTAACAACTTTGAACAACATGATTTAACTGAAATGCGAGATACACATCTTCAAGTCCAGTCTACAAGCTTTGAAAATGCAAAAGACAATAAATCTATTCAATCACAGTTTTTACTCCTTGACACGCACTTGATTCAGTAAGCACTAAACAGTCAGAATTTTTATTTTCATAACAGTATAATATTTGACTTTCACAGATTATTCTCTTTGTAGTCTAAGTCTATACATATATGCATGGTATATGCTAGGAGTTATCAAATATGTACTCTAAAGAAACTTGGATATCCAAAATAAATATGACTCCAGAGAAACGAACACAACGTTTATTCAACATAGACAGCACAAGAGGGAATAAAAATATAACAAAATATGAGGAAGAAAATAATTGGCACGGCGCCATCTATTGATATAACTTTAAACATAAATTTTAGACATTATTTAACAGTAGTGGCACAGCATAAACTTCACATTAGATACTGATCAATGATCTTCACATTAGATACTGATCAATGATCTTCACATTAGATACTGATTAATGATCTTGCTTAAAATATTTCGTCTATTATTTATCAGTTATGCACATATCTTCAAGGATACAAATCAGACAGAATGCAATATAATAATTTCAAAATATTTTTAAAAGTCTACTTTATGATAGCATTTCAAATATAAATTAATATTTGGTATACTTATAAGAGCAAAAATATCCAAATCACATTTTGAGATGGTTTAAATACAATTTATCCTTTAAGCAAGAGTATCAAAATGGAAAAATTAATTTATACTCTTACATTTTTGCAGATAATTGTAAAACTTAAATCTCATTATCTTGAGAGATTAATTTTAAATCTATCTCGCTAAAATTTTATTTTGCTAAGCACAAGGAAGTTTTTATCTAGCTATGACCCTGGTTAAACTGATATATATTTTCCCCTACTTTATTACTATCAATGAGCATCAAAAACAGTGAAACAACCAGTACTCACAATATCAAAAATTAAAAAATCATATTTGTGCTATTTTATAAGAACTTTCAGCAATGGCATGGTGTGTTATTGAAGTGACAATTCAAGAGTCATTAATTTTAAAACAATTTCTCATATAGTCTACCCAAAGAACCCTTAATAAGTTTAATTTTTATAATTGGATAAAAAAGTGGAAAATCCCATAACTGGAATCGCCAAGTCTTCGGCAAGTAGGGAAAATAAATTTTTCTAGGTAAAGTCCTTAAGGTAAACAAACATCAATTTCAATCAACCTATAAATCCGTGGTTTACCAATCGCTATTGTTGCGTCATAAAAACGTACCACTAATTCCAATCATGTATTTAAGTTAGAAATAATTTCTTGATTCACTCTATTAGCGACGATTCCACAGTGAATCTGAGCAGTTTTGTCAATCGTTTTTCTGGCAGTTACTAAAATGGATTTTCACTTGGCTTTTAAAATCTCAAAATTTTAAGGCACTGTTATTTTGTACAACAAACATCGAATCTCACATTTCGCACTCTTATTTATGATTTACCCACAATTACATTTTTGAAAAAGTAAAAATAAATTTTTTTTGATTGTTATAAAGCATCCCAAAAAAGACCCATACCCTTCTGGTACATTGACGTCCTGATATCGAACTTTTTACTGTAATAATGAAAGCCGTTGATAGCATAATTCAACTTTCTTTTCTTTATAGCTATAATTTAGTGCAATACTATGTCAATTCAAAATGCTCTATTCTTGAAAAATAATAAAAAAATGCTTTTATCTATTTATTTACTAGATAAAACACTAGGTCACCATAAAAATTGTTTTATTTAACTAAATTTTTATGATAACCAGACTTAGATAAAATGAAAAACTTTCTGGGAATACATATCAATCAAGAAGCTTTCTGCAAGCAATTTATTAACTCTTGTTACCAGTTCCAACCCTTCTGTTCCCAACTAATCGAAATTTGTTCAAAAATCACTGATTTTCTTCATTAGTGTTTAAAATTTTATAATACTCTATATTAATTATTAAACATACCAACATATATTTCTTTAAATTTAGTAGTTTTGTCAGAAATGGATCTGCAGAATTGAAAATATATGATAAATCTATCACTGCAACATCTTCCTTTGTGTTTTTTAAACTGCAACTTTAAAGCAGTCTGTTCAGACTTAATGTCTCCTAATTTCGCTCAAACCTTTTTATAAGCTCAAGAATAATATTATTTATTTTTTTTTTGTTTCCTTTTACTGAATTTCCAATAAATAAATCAGAATTTTCCAGAATATTTTTTTTGTGGAAAATATTGACTAAGGGGTAGAATAGGAGAATTTTGACTTTTTAATACAATTGTAACAAATTTTCAATGAACAGAGTCACTCATTCATGTATAGTATTTTAAGCTTATCTGTTGATAACTAATATAATCCTATATGTAATAAGTTTTAAAATAAAACAATTACCTGCTGCTTGCTCTTTTGGTAGTTGATTCCCATTCTTGCTTACGTCCTAACAAGCCTTCACATTGAACCTCCTCATCAGGGGAGGTAGCTGTTGGACTTCCTTTTTCTGTAGTAGAAAAAGATTACATGAGACACTTATAATAATTACTCTATGAAAAAAACATTAATTTTATTAATTATCATACTAAATGCCTTAATCTCTCAAATGAAAATCAAACTTTAACTGTAAACAGAAGGTTTCAATTGGCTTATTATTAAGAATAGATTTGAATACTTGAGTGTTTTAAGAAGTTTTATATCGCTCTTTCAGTATTTATAGATAGATATTTTTGTGCTCATTTATTTTTTTAATCATAAATAGTAAATTCATATGCTTCTTGGAAACTCTGCATGGTTGCTAAGATTTATTTATTTTCTCATTTGTTAATTCAATTTATTTCTGTTAAAATGGCACATTTTTAATTTACTTTTTAGTATGAATTCTATGAAAATATTTTATTAGAAGTATAGACAAGATCTTTCTCACAAGGTATCTTAAATTTAAAGCATCACTAACAGTTGAGAAGTGCAAAGATAAGTAGAATTGGAAAAAAAATGGTAGTGTGGCAAATACTAGTTGAAATTATTTAAAATTATTGCCATAATGTATCGCCACAAAGAATGAATTATAAAGATTTATTAGACTATGTAACACTTGATAAAACTATCTTGAGAGCCCCAAACCACTGTAACCAAAATGCCTCAAGCTTTTCATCATTCAAAATCTAAACTCAGTCCATCACCATGATTTGAAGAATTCAGCCACCAAGGTCACCATTTATAGCCACCACCTTTTACCAACCGAATAAAGCATTTACCAAAACTATCTTCATCATCACCAGTGGATTTCTTTTTTCGCCAGCTACTGAACTGTGATTTGGATCGCGACCTTTTTTTCTTGTCCTTATCAGGAGAAGGGGCTTATGAAAGGCATAAAAAATTGTGTTATTTTTGTGAAAAATCTTTTTTTTAAGTTAAAGGCTACATTAAAAAATATTTATTGAAAAGAGTAAATTCCAACTTACTGCTTGGTGCTGATTGAGATTCATGGGGGAGACTGGATGAAGTAGTTGCTGTGACAACAGATTGAAAAGATTAACAAAGGATTATTAGCTTATCATGGAAATTAAACTTTGAACTAATAAACATAACTAGTTTTCCATAGCTAATAATTAAGAATTCAATAACATCAATTACTCAGAAATACTGGCAAAGCTAATTATTTGTAATATTTATAAATAAGTTTAATATTAACGTCCATTAAGCTCAACTCTTTCAGAACAGTGATCACATGTGTGTGGTCTCCCTTCATGGCATCATGTATGAAACAAACCTTTCTGATTCTAGAAGCCCAAGATAACATGGAAGTGATCTCAATTCCATACTCTTATATTAGTATGTAAACATACTTTTTAGTATGTATAAACTAGCATGTGAGCTAGGGATAGAACTTTTTCCTTCTGCCGTCATGAAGAGGTTAAATATGTCACGCTGTTCGAATTTACAAAAATTTTAATATACTAAAAATTTTTTTTTACAGAAGGATTATCTGATGTGATTTTTCTATTTTGTCTAGCCAAAATTATTTTATTCCTCATCTATGATGTAACCAATTGGTGGCAATACTTGATGAATGTAAAAACAATATTACACTGGGAATGAAGGGAATTTTGGTTTAAAGAGGTTCAGATAGTCAAGTTTTCAAGCTTTTTACATAGTATTACAATTCTCAATTACTTGAAAATATATTAATCCTATGTTATAAAAATATCAATCAATTACCTCAAATAATATATATATTTGCTAACTCAATTAGGAATATTTTTAAAACAATATTATGTTGTCACACATCTTAGAAAAAATTCACACAAAATGTTTTGTTTGAAACTGAAAGAAATATTTTAAAGAAAATGTTTTCTTTTTCAAAACTAAGAACAGCAATTAAAAATTAGGAGGGTTTTCTTAGAATTTAAAATTATACTTGATGAGCGAAATAATTTTAACTTTAGCAAAAACATTAAAGCATACCAAAACTACTTCATAATTTTTATGAATCAGCCAACTAAATAATAAAGACAAATTAAAGCTTAAAAGCAAAAATGAAATTAGAATACTTTAGGGTGCATTTTTATGCTAACATGCCCGCATGCTAACAGGATATTCCTATAACTATTTTCATAAAAATAACTTGACCCTAGCAATACAAAACATGCAAATTAAATCAGGAAACCAATCTTTAAAAACAAATTCACAATTAAATACAATATTTGTTTCAATATTCTTAAATATTTACCATATACAATTCTAATATGTAGTTTAAAAAACAATTTAACAAACTAATATTAAAATTTGGACTCCACAAAACTTAAAACAAATGAAGCAATACCTGTCTTTTTCGTTTGAGCAGTACCAGAAGTAGCCTTCTTAACAATAGGAGAAGCCTTTTTCTTCACTATGTATGAAATGAAGTATAAAACACATGCACTCATGCAGAGAAAACAGAAAAACATGCACCATGCTCAAAGACAAAAAGATTTCTCAACAAAAAGATAAAGCCCATTAAGTTTATTTTATTTAGAAAAGTCATTTAATGTAACAAAAGTTTAAAAAAACTGATAAACCAAACCGAAAGAAGCTGTTAAAAAGTTTGAGAAATTCAGCTAACATAAAAGAAATTGTTAAAGAATTTCGAAAATAAAAAGTATAATATGTTAGATTTTCAAAAGAAAAGTATAGTTTACAGTCCTGAATGTGATTGCCTTCAATTTTTTTTCTAAGTATATTGGTTTTATTTGTTGCTGTTTGTTGTTTCTAACCCCCAAGAGGTCCATCCTAATTAGACCAATTCCATAAGTCCAAAAATGTCCAGAAAGTCTAAAAACAGATGAGGTTTTGAAAAAACCTCGTCGATCTTAAAATCGATGCAGTTTAGAATATGCTCGGGCGAAGCCTGAGCAGTCTTACATTTAGTGCAAAGTCCAAAAGTCTTTTGCCCCTGAACATACGAGAGACACCTCAAGTGACCACTTGCAAAGCGAGATAAACAAGTCTGCTGGCTTCTAGGTCCCTCAAAAAGCAAGGCACTTCCAGGTCGTTTTCTGAAATACCAACTATGCGGAGGAGGAACCCTCCAGAGGTCCATAAACATTTTTTTGCACTCTGAAAAGACCTCGTTGAAAGTGGAAGGTAGATCTGGCTGTAGAGGTTCCAAAGAAGCATCTTTAGCCAGTGAGTCCGCCATCTCGTTACCTTTGATTCCAACGTGTGATGGAATCCATTGGAAGTGTACCCCAAAGTCCGCTGAGAGCCTGAAGAGCATCCCCAAAATTGAAGCCGCAGCCCTGTCTCCAACATTCATCCAGTTCTAAGGTGTTGGATTGAAGATTTGCTATCCGTCAGTATCCATATATGCTTAAAGTCAGGCTCAACAATATTCTCAACATGTCTTAGGCCATTTTCAATCGCAATAAGCTCAGATCGGTTTTATTTCTTTATAACTTATTAAATAAAAAACAATGTTTTTTTCTTCTAGTTTTTGTTTTTTCGTAACATAAAAAAGAAAATTCTAAAATAAATCCAAATTTGACTGCTTTTTAAATAACTTAAAAATCTTGCAAAATATTAAATGCAAATAAAATTCAAAGCTGTATTATAATATAAAAATTACTACTTAAGTATTTCTGGTATCTATAATAATTTTTCTACCACTTTATATAGCGATTTTATATAAATTAAAGCTAAAGATTAATATTTGTATAGATTTCCGAAAGGATATTTTAAATAAATTCTTTGCAGGAACAAAAATTGTAAACTTACCTTCTTGCATAGTTTCTTGATCACCACTAACCGATAATGCTTCCTTTTCTGGGGATTTTTCACCATCAACTCTAAAAAATTTAAGATTTTTCTTTCAGAACAATAATTACATTAAAGGCCAGTGCAAAAATTAAACACAGGTTTTTTCCAAAAAATACAAGCCATTTTTTTTTTTTAAATCATCGATGTCATTTTTTTTTTTTCGTACCTTTACTGCAAATTTGAATTTTATGAGTTTTAAACAAATAATTTGTTGGTTTTCTAACTTTTTTAACCATTTAACTTTAAGTCTTTTTACCTAGTATCTCACAGTTTTTTCAAGCAGCCTTAATAAATAAATATTTAGGTGCATTTTTCACAACCACTAGTTTTAAGCTTTCTTTCGAAATATGTTTACTTTTTGTGCTTAAACTAGCAAATTTTGACTTTTTGAGTGTAACTCAATCTGTTGAAGTTACAAACAATTTGCTTTGTTCTTGGCGATTCAAATATATACGAAAATAGCAGCTAGAACAAATATCTTCCCTGCTGTTACTTCTGAGCAAAAAAAGTTAGATCTTAAGGGAAGAAAAAAATTCATTCAGTTAAATTAAAAATAATTTGCATATTATCGATACACTATATTTAGAACAAATGTTTTTTTTCTTCTTCAAACGAAACATAAAATCCATGAAAGACTTTAATTGATTAACATAATTTTTGATGAATATAATGTAACTGTATTTAGCACCTACTTGCTTCTTTTTTATTTCAAACAATGATAAACAATTTCAAAAAGTATCCAAAAGAATAATTAAAAATATTTAATGTGTAACAGAAAGAAAAAATACAAAAAATTCCAATTTTGAAGCAGCACTAAAACCAAACTCTATGAAAACAAACATAAAAATTGTAGCTTGTGTAATAAGACAAACAATACATTGTAAATAAAAACAACTATCCTATTGTAAGAGACTAAAAAAATATTTTTTAAAGTTACCTGTCTGCTGCAGGTGTTTCTTGTGGTGGTGGTTCTAGGGCAGCTAATCTAGCTAATTCTTCTTGCCTTAGTCTTTCAGCTTCTTCCTCCTCCTTCCTTCTGAAATCTTTCAACTCAAACTATAAAGTAAAATTAAAAATTATTCAAGTAAATTTTATCAGGTAACTATTGAATAACTATTATAAAAACTTTAACCTAGAGGCATATGCAGTATTTTTTTACTGAATTAAGTCTCGATTTTTTCTACTTTATAAATATGCAGGCAATGTTTTTTTTAAGAATAATAAGCTATTATGAATCCTAGGAATACTACACAATGTATATTTAAAGAAACTTACAGTTGTCATTCTTTCAAGGGCTGCAAACCTTTCTTCTTGTGCTGCAGCTGACTTTTCAAATGCTTCATGTTTTTTAATTAGCTGCTCTACATCATCAATTGTATGCTGAAAAAAATTTTACATTATAGCAGAATTTACTAACATATAACAATGTAAGAAAAATCACAGAAAAAAACTAATCCTTTTCAAACTTGTGGGAAATTTAAGTCACTTTTAGTGTTAACGAACAAACCTAAAAAATTAAGAAAAAAATTAATTCCAAGATAAATAAGTTTCCCAAAATTTTCTTACAGGAGTTATAAGAATAATAAAATCAATCCTAAATTCATAAGGAAAGAAAGTAATGTCTAAAATTGAAACAAAGTTGAAAACCCATTTAGCACATTTACTATGCATTGGTATACACTAAACTAGGGGTGCATATCCATTTTGAGTGAAGGGCCACATGCACAGCAGATTGACCAATGAAGGGTTGCATGCCAAAATTTTGGACAGACATATTGACAGCAATGGTAGGTAGTAATTGTTATATAAAAATAATTGTTCTAGGCACTAAATTCTTTTTGTCAGTTAACCTTATAGTACATTTAAATACTTTCAATTATTTAAAATTAGAATATCGAAATTTTAAAAACCAAGCGGAAATGCGTAGCAATAACTTCCGAAAAAAGGATCAAAAGTCATTAGATTTTCCATGAAATTTGCTCAAATAAAGCATTTCATAGCTTTCAAAAATCGCGATTTCAGAAACTACGTGAAAATGGGTAGCAATAAATACAGAAAAGAAATTGGATTTACGAGGAAATCGGTACACACTAAGAGCGTCAAAAGTGATAACTAAAATTTGAAATTCATATATTGTAATAATGACGTATTAAAAATATTGGGATTCTCAAAGCTATGTGTAAATCCATAGCATTAAACATCGGAAAAAAACGACCAAAAAACTGCAATGATTAATATTAGGTGAGTCAAAAACTTAAATCTGTAAATTTCTCAGTTTCAAATTTTTTTTCTTAAAATTTTTTTTTTGTTTTGTTCAGATTGCGGCCGCGGACCACACATCGAGGGTTGATGGGCCGCAGGTTGTGCACCCCTACACTAAACAGAGAAAAGAATAAAACATGTTTTCACAAGAACAGCTGATTTTAAGAACATACACAAGACTCTTAAATGACTAGCCTGAGAATTAAGGTGCGTTCATATGCATATTTGCAAAATATCTCCTAAGACTAGAAAGCCTGCACACCGCTGGAACAAGAACCAGGTGTGTTTTTTTTTTTTTTTTTTTTGCATTTGTCAACACACAAACACTAAATATAAATCAATAAAACTTTGCACTAGAGCATAAATTTATTCATCATTCATAAAAGTTTAAGACAAAAAAAACAAAAGCGTTTCAGTAATTTAACTACTGCCATTTAATCTAACATTAACTTTATATGAAAATTGCTTTATGTACTCGAATTAAAAACTCTGTAAATTGATCTTACAACCATGGATTAGTTATTTATTTCGTTTTAATATAATTAAAAAGATATTTTATTAATATTATTTATGAGAAGTATTTAATGTTCTTTAACATTATTCACAAAAATATCAAAACAAAAATTCAATTTAAGAATGATTAAGAAAAATTATTTGAATAGTTTGTAATAAATTATGTTAAGAATTTTAAAAAAGAAATCAATATAAAATTTATTACATTAGGTTTTTAATTAACACTAAATATTTTATAGTTCAACAAAAAAAAAAACATTAAATATTTTATTTAACAAAATACTAATATAGAGAAAGCATGGAAACATTTTACTTACTCCTAATTCCTGGCTAAGCAAATATGGTTCTTGTGCGACTAACCATGCTTCTGCAACAGCAGCATCTCTAGCAAACTGGTACACCTCCAATACTAAAACCGAAACAAATATTAGTAACAACCATATTTGGAATTTTTTTTTACAACAGCTTGATTTTAAAAGAAAAACCGATATGTATTACGATATATATTACACATAACACTTACTTAGCTGCAAGTGCTCCCAACGTTCTTCCCATCGATTCATCATTGAACTCCTTTGATTTGTCAAGGATAAGAGCCTTTCTTTGATCTAAAATAAATTAATTTTAAGTAAATCAAAAATGTTATCAAAGTGTTAAAAATAATTTTAATAAAATAGACTAACTTCATTAGATGCATAATGGTTCCTGGAAAGAAGTTCTTTTCCCAAGTTGATACAAGCTGAAATATTATCTTCTCTAGCATCTATTTCAGCCTTCAGACTCTGGTGATTGTTCATTAAGAGTTCAACACCTGATACATCTCTGAAATGGACACAAAGTGAATGAGTTTTTAAAATACAATTTTTTAGTCAAAATTTTGGAAAAGAAAAAGTAATAAAGAACTTAAAAAACTTGCCAACAATATTCTACTGCATTAAAGTATTAAGCTTCACATTAATGCATTATTTAGATTTCATTAATGTGTTCTATGTATACTTTTCAGTATTATCATTTCGCTATGCATATGAATTTGTGTTAACAAAATAGACTTAAATTGCACAAATAGGATATTTTTAAAATAATAAATAAAAGCACTAACTGCTAATTATTTCCACTTAAATATTTATTGGAAATGTAAGATTATATATACTTTATATTAAAAGATTTATTACATATAGTTTCAAAAAGATTCATTTAAGTCGCCCATTAATAAATACTTTCTCTCAAGCCTATCTCATAAAAGGTTGAGGACAACTTCATATCAATGTAATAATATTTTCATATCACGGATATACAAAAATTAAGAATATCAGCCATCAATTTTGCATGTACCAAATTGTTTAGTCTACAAAAATCTCATAACAATAAAAATTATTTTATTTCATTTAGATTTTTGATTAGAAAACTAAACACTATTTTCAGATTCCATAGTAACTTTGTTGAATGAAATATTCCTTTCTTTAAAAACTTATATCAATTATTGCAAAAAACCATCACATTTTATAATAGAACAATTGTGAAACTAAGTAGGGGAGATTAGGGTGACTTGATCCCTTGGGAGACTTGATCCCCAGGTCTTAAATCAAAACTGATATGTAATTAAATTTTTTACACTGGCAACACTCATAAAGTTATTCTTTATCAACAAATCTGGCAACAAGATTTCATTCAGCCCTTTTTATTTTGATTGTTAAGATGGAATTTTTGATTTCTTAAAATTAAATCTTCTTTTGAGTAAGTAGTTTGATTCATTTAATTTTTGTTACATATAATTCAAATAATAATCTTACTGATATAATAGACTATCATAGTTTACTGCTTAGTTGATGCTATTTAAAACTAAAATAGTTTGCTTACTTTTGGTTTAAGAATAATTTTTAGAAAACATATGCATAAAGGGACACTTGATCCCCATAGTATGGGGAGACTTGATCCTAGGGATCATGTGTCCCCAGGATTAATGTANACTTATATTAGGTTGTAAGATGTTAGTTTAAGCAGGACTGCTAAATTTTTTTTGCCGGCTATTTATTATTTATTGCTAGCTTGGTTTTTATGGTCATAAATTGTTTTTTTTGGTATTAATTGTTAATTTTTTTGTTAATAATTGTTTATTTATTTTGTTTGTTTTCTGTGAATTTATTTTAATTGTTAATACGCTTCATAGTGAACTTTGTGATCGCCGTCGTGTCCAGAATGGTGTGTTGTGTGCCATTGGTTCGACATTCCTGCTCTATAGTATGTGTCTAAACACAATTATTTTCATTACCTTGGTTTTTCAGATGTGTTCATTTGTCGAACAATATCTTCCATCCACAGCATTAGGTCTCTGACCATGTTGAGGAACCTGAAGAGATCATTGGTGTCTGCAAGCTTCAACTTTCTTCCTTCACACATGCCCAAAAGCTTCTGCCATGCACCCACAACTTCACCTTCACGATTGGTGATCTCTTTGGCTTTGTCACCAGCATAGGCACTCTGCAAGTTCTCTGATTCTTCTTGGATTTGTTGAACCTTTACAAGTGAAAGATACAGAGTTTAAGTATGCAGAAAATAAGTATCAGACAATTTTAAAGTGTTATAATACATAATCTAGATACTTATATAATATATATATATACTTACAGCTGCTCCAAGTGTCTGTAGGTCATTTTCAAAATTGGCATGTTTCCTTTGTAGGCTGGACACACTAACTCCATCTTTGCCAAGTTCATCTGACATGGAATTTTGTTTCTCCTGAAATAAAGAGTATTGTTACATGAAAACTTTGGTTGATATAAAAGCTCGAAGAGATTGTAAGCACTCACAAAAAAGAGCAAAGTTTGAAGAATACTACTTTTATCACATTTGAGTGATCCAAACACAAAACCTGTTAATTGCTGTTTTTTTTTGGGGGGGGGGGGAATANCCTGTTAATTGCTCTTTTGGGGGGGGGAATAATGAATGTATCATTTTATTTTAAACTTTACTATTAAAACACATGTGCTTCAATTTATACCGGCTTTATAAAACTTAGTTAACTTGCTTTGTAATATTGTGTATTATGACATTTTCATAATTTTTCCCGCTATATATGTCTAAAAAGCAATAAGTAGGTTTTTATCAAAATTACAATTACAAATAAATCAGTATTGCTTATTTAATGTTTCAATAATTATAGTATTGCTTATTTAATGTTTATGTAACGTTATATAATGTTATTACATTAAAGTTAATATGCAAGAGTTGTAATAGATCTTTATCATATTTTTAAATATATTAAAATAGTTGATTTAATAACTACTAGTTTATTTGAATTTTTTTTTTTTAAATATTACAGAACATTTATATGTGACTAAGATCAGCATGCTGGTATTTATTACTTATGCATTAATGTTTTTAATTATTTCAAAATATGAGTAATTTATGTGTTAAACCATACCATATTAAATAAAAATTGGTAATTCAACATGATACTTAGCTTAAAAAGTTAAGCTAAAGAAATAAAAGCTAAATTAACACTCGAAATTAAAGAAAGAAAATCAGGGAAGGGTACACTAATAAACTACTTTTAAAAAAATATAAAATTGTCAGCACCTGTTCTCAAATTAAAGATTTCAATTTTTTTAAACATTTTGTATGATGAGTAACAAAAATACCAACTATATGGTTATTTGAGCACTTCCCATCATTATTAAAACTTTAAAAACATCAAAATTTGAAAATGTAATACTAATTTTAAAAAATTCACACTATAATCAATCATAAGATATAGACTTATCACGACTTTTTTGTAATACTTCTAAATTATGAACTATAATGATTCACAAAAAGTATTACAAAAAATAAAAACTAAGGTAACATGCAAAAAAAAATCCATGTTATCATAATTGTAAGTACGTTGTATAGAAAAGTTTTCACTTACTAAAATTCTTCCTAGAAGATCTTTGCAGTCATGGAAGAATCTGTGAAGCTTCCATGATGCAGCCAACATCTGTGTCCTCGTATCGATTAGTTCAAGCAAGTCTGCCCAAGCTTCATTCAAATTGTCCTTCCATTCGGCTATTGTTGCGCTATCTGAGTGACCAGATGCTATTAGCTGATCAGCACTTTCATTTACCTCCGCTACTCTCTCCGTTCCAATGACTTCAGTGTCCCTAGCGAATTCTTTGAACCGTTCTTGTAACATCTATAAAAAAATATTAAAAAATTAAATTAATTTTAGCAGATCTCATTTAAATTAAATATTTTAAACAGAGACTAAGTAGATTCTGATTAAATAAATAATCTAAGAATAATTTCGAATAATGAATAAAAACTGCAGACAAAATATTACAAAATTCTACACCTTTTCAATATTTTTCCAACATATTTAAAAGGTGAATAAAAAAAAAGCCATTTTTAGCAGATTTTATACAACACCAATAATCAGGTAATCGCTTGACTAATGGTAACAGTTAAATCTAAAAAAATAATAATTTTTAAAAATTTTTTTATTTTAACAATTTAAAGAGTATGCTTCAAATTAGCGAACATTTACCTTTTAAAATAAAACAGATATCACTTCATTTGAGTTTCCCATCAATATTGATATAGTAAAATAATAAATGTAAATTTTTTATTTCTTGTAATTTACCACACATAAAATATTTCTGATATCCAAAATTCTTATTTACCTTCATTGTAACCCAATAGGTCTTTTTTTTAATTAGAAACATTTCTTTAAAAAAAAATTTATGCTTACAATTTTCAAACTTAAAGTGTTGAATTAAAATGCAATTTTCATAAAGTAAAATAACAAATTTTAATTTAATGATAACAGCATTCCACTTAAAGAATAATCAAACTGACAAAACCATAGAACTCAAGAGCATTTTCAAAATAGTTATGTGATAATTAAATCAACAGAAAAAAGTTCATTATTTTGATAACTTATTAATTTAAACTTATTTTAGAATTATTACAAATTAAATAATATTTAACAATCGCAATTTTTTCAAAAATTATAAATTTAACAATATTTATTGCTGTCTAAAGTAATATCTTAAAATAATATCTTTATATGCGAAAAAAAAATAATATCCCTCCCTTTGTCTTTTAAATTCTTATGACAAACTGCAAGACTTAATTTAATAAACACTTATTTTATTATTTAATTTTTCAATGATATTTTCAAATTTAAAATTATATATATATATATATATATTCAATTTTTTAACCACACATTATCCATTGTATAGCCATGGAAAAATATTAGCAATGTAGAAGACTTCCATAGAAAAAAAAAATTTCCCCCCACAAACTGACAAATTTTTTTGTTTCTAATGTCACTCGCCATTACCAGCAAGAATTTAAGGCAAAGAATGCGTTTCTTGTTTTTCAGTGGCACTATCCAAGAATACGACTTCAGTCACAAGCCATCGCACAAACATCCAAAGATCGCAACTTTGACCTGAACCAAAAAACGATCAACCTCCAATTCAGTACTCCAAGACGTATAGATTTGTTATGGGAACTTGCCTGAATTTGTGACTGATTGAAAGATTTAACATGCACTAGTCACCATATACAACGCAGGGAGTCTTCAGCCGGCAGAGATCGAATTCACAACCTCGAATGCCCAACACCCTACCAACCAGGCTATACCAACCACAAATTTTCTTTGTTTATAAAATAGAATAAAATATAAATTAATAAATTCATTGTTATAAAATGTTGCGAATTATATCTGCATAAATGCAAACTACTTTGTGATTCTCATAATAAAAACACAGTGAAAAAAATCTAAACATCAAAAACTACAACTCAAATAAAAGTATACACTCACAACAACATGATCATAATCTTGTCCTAGCTCATGAGACCCAGCAACTAATTCTCGTTCTGAAATCCATTGCATTATATCGTCAACTTCTCTCTCTAGAGAAAATAGTTTCAGACCCTCATCCAATTTTGCTCTGCGTTCTAAGGCAAGATCTTTCAAACCAGCATACAACTTGTCTACTTGAGACTGTCGCACTATGATCGGGTCACTGCAAAAAATATGTGCATTGTTGTTAAATTATTAACAGTATGCTTAGTTAATTTGCAATTCACATGATTCATGACACATTTTATCTAACCTTTCAGGATGACCCTCTGAAGATAACTGTTTGGCAGTCTCACCCAACTGTCTAACTGTCTCAGCATAATCTTCCACAGCGTTCTCCAGACTCTCATGCTTCTTCTTGAGATTCTGGGTGCTGATTTCATCTTTGCCACGATCTTCTACCATCATGTACAGTTCTTGCTCACTCATCCAAGCCTCAGCTTCACTGGCATCAAAGTAATACTGTATATAAAAAGCAAAACATTGTTATCACATTCAAAAAGGCTGAACAGTTTGAATGAAGCAAAGCACTTGACTTCAATAGAAATTAACTATTATTCAAGTAAGTTGAAAATTTTAGTTAAAAATTTATTACAATACTTGAAACATTAATATGCTAAATAAATTAGCAAAGGTTTCAAATTTGTATATATCAATACAAAGTTTTTTTTTTAAAAAAAAAGGAGAGATAGAAAAAATTAATTTTTATACTTTGACTATCAACAGACTACTGTGGAGAAATAATTTTCAAAATACTGAAATATGATTCATGAAACTAGTAAATGAAAACAATTAAGATTAAAATACTAATGCCATTTTAAGCATTCAAATAAATCCAAACAAAATAATTACAAAGAATTGCAGTGGTTACCATATACACTTCAAACATTTACAAGTCAATTCTAAGAGAAGCGAGCTAAATTTTCAATAACATGGATACATTAATTTATTACAAATTGCGGAAATAATTTTGAGAAAACTATTTACACTGCAAGCTAATCAAGCCCATTATAAAAATTTTAGAAAAGATAAAGAAAAATTTAGTGTTAATGCTTAAATTCATATAACTAATTTAAATTAATGGGGAGACTAGTTTAATTTTATAAAGACATATCTAAACTATAAAGTAAAAAATAGAAACCATAGTATAATTTTCAATAAATTTGGAAAAATGTTATAACCTTCAAGTCACAAAACTCTATTTTTACCTGTTGTGCTTTTTCAGATTCTAACAATTTATCTTCCCTCTTATCAAGAGCTTTCTTCAAATTATTCCATTGCTGCAGTAAGTCGTCAATCAATCGCTGGAACTCTGCAGAATCTTCATGGTCTTCACTAATAAGTTTTTTGCCATTTTCACAGATGTTCATAATTCTTGGCTCATGATTTTCAATTTCAGTTCGTAAAGACTAATTTGAAAGAATGAATAAAAAATGCATAATTATTTTAAGCAAAACAAGATTAAATTTTTCAATATTGAAACAAAATGCATACTTGATTTTTCTTTTTCAGCATTTGGACACTAAAGAGACTATTTCCATAGTCACTAGACTCTGTTAGAGGCTTCTTTTCAGATATCCATAATTTCTCATCTTCAATATCTCTTCTAAATTGATATGCTTCTTTCTTCTTAAGAAGCAAGGCTTTCCTTTCAAGCAAAGGAGCTTGCAGTCGCTGAAATCTAGAAGAGAATTAATTTGCTCTAAGTGGAAACATAACAACTTATTTCTATTAAGGGTTATGCTCAGGGCTGGGTTTTTGCCGTCAAAAACTGGTTTTTGACATAACAGTAGTAAAAACAGTGTTTTTACAGGTAAAACCATCAAAAACCTACTGTTTTCTTTAATTTATGGCATATAGCGGACAATATATTATTTTCACTTAATTGCCTTTAGAAATGAATGTTGTAAATGATTGCTATTGATTTTGCAACTACATACACGTATTTTTATAGAAGGATATACATTCATACAGAAATATTGTAACATACTTATTGAAAATAGTATGTTACTTTTATCATTATAGCTTGATTTGCAAAAGATTCAAAGTTTTTCACTTCTTAATTGTTAGAAGTAAACAAACAAAAAAACTTGGAACTATTAATAAATTCAAGAATTAAAAAGAATTTAAAATTTGCCATTGCTTAAATATTAGTTGTTGTTGTTGTTGTTAATTTACGTCGCACTAGAGCTGCACATTGCACATTAAATATTAGAAATAAGCTAAACAAAACTTTCAAAACTTGTAACTACTAACAAACTCTAAGTCAGGAATGACTTGACATTCTTCAGTAATGTAATATGCCAAACAAAATGATGCTTGGAAATGTTGAAAATTTTGTTTAGTATCCTAATATTTTACTTCAAGTAGTATGATTTGATATAATCATGTTGGGAAAATGCAAAAATCTGTTCTTAAATATCTTTTAACTTTTTTTCTAATTCTATTGCCAAAAAATGAATTAATTTTAAATCATAAACAGTTAAACTCAAATTAAAATACAGTTTTATCAAAACTATGGATTTTTGACAGTTTTTGACAGAGGGGTTTTTGACATGACGGTAAAAACCATGGTATAAACCAGTAAAAACTGTCAGGTCTCAAAAACTTGCCAACCCTGGTTATGCCTAATTCTCTTATGAAACAGGATTTAAAATATTAACATGCTTGTTTCCCTTTTTTTTATAACTCAGAATAACCTTAAAAAAGAGTGTAATTTGTCTCTGAAAAAATTCTATCCATCTAAATGGGTCACTATAGACTGTGTTTACATTATAAACTATATTTCTTAAAAGCAGGTCACAAAGTTTAAAAATTTAGAGGATCCCCGCTCTGTATTCTCATGTAAAATTTCACACTAGTCTTTGTTATATTTATTCATTTGAAATATTTATTTATTATTTTCTTAATATAAAATTTTGTATTTATTTTCTGCCTTTCTAAACAAGTAAAATAAATAAAAATAGAAAAAAAATTCCGCATGCATAATCACAATGGGAAAAGTAAGGATACTAACATGTATGCAGCCTTTAAAATTTAAAGACTGCTTTTGAAAATAAAATGAAAGAACGATTTACGTAGGTACAAATAAACATTGAATGTTAAATAAATAAATAATTAAATTTATTAAAAGTATGAGAAGAAAACTGTCTTTAGCCTACTAATTTTTTTTAAAAAAAGCATTACACAAATGTTAGTAGATTTAGTTTCTTACATATATTAACTTGTAAATATATTTAAAATTTGAAATATTTGTTTTTTAAAAAAAAAAACTACAATGATTGTTATACATTAATGTGACTTAGAAGGAGAGATTTTACTAAATCAATTTTTAATAATAATAATAAAAAAATATATGATTTAAAAAGGAGGACAAAAGGCTTTTACATTCAAAACTGATTTTAAAAAAATAATGCTTAAGATGCACATAATATTAGACTTTTCTCTGCAGACAAATTAAGCAGTTTAAATTTCTTATGCAGAAGGTAAAAGAATTTTATAAAAGTCTTTCTCCCTACACAAATTTATTTACACCGACTAGATCTCAATTAGCATTTTTAATATACTTTTAACTTGAATTAGACTAGTTTTATCTCAAATTATTAAAATAAAAAAAATAAAAAATTATTTTAAAAAAAATTTTAAAAATTGAAACAACTGCAAACCTATCGAAATTAAGGCTCGAATTGTTTTTAGGAATTTTCAATATCACTTAAATTGAGCAATGGAAAATTATGAATAACTTAACCACAAATTATCTTGCTGCAAAAGAGACTGAACTATGCAGTTTGAGGACAAAAAATCTATCTTCAAAATACCCATTTTCATCAAATGATTTTTAAGATTGCTTTAAATATCTTACCTATCTTCAACATAAGATTTCTTGACAACAATCTCATCTTCCTTTGCAGGATCCATTTTCTTCAGATATTCCGCTTGACTCTTGAGTTCTGTTACTTGTTGTGCTTTCACGGCCATTTGAGTTTCAATCATCTACAAAAGGAAGTGTGGATTTAAATAATGAAAAGCAAAATTGGTAAAATCTATTAAGCAAACTCAACATTGGTGTTCTATTTTTAATTTTAACAAACAAAGAAATACCTGTTGTTTCTGTAGAATAAGATTGACGCCAGTCAAACTGATAGCTTCTTGACCAGGCTCAGCAGACAATACTTGGTTTTCTAGTTCACTTATCCAGCCATCAATATCATCACAAGTCTGTTCATAAAGCACTTGCCTATTAGCATCAAACAGTTTTTCGCCCTTTTCAGTTGTTGTGTTCTCAAGGTCATCAAACTGTCGGGCAATTTCACCAAGTTGAGGTTCAACCAAAGGTGTTAACTCTGGCTTTTCGGTAACTAAATCTTTTCCAGCCTGGAAGAAATTAAAAATGGGCAATTAAAGATTTAATTGCTTAACCATTTTTGAAACTCAAATTAGCTGAAATTTCTATAATTAAAAAAAATTATCAGTATTAGTTCGAATGCCCAAAAAATATAAATCAAATTTACAACTTAAAAAAATAATAAATAAAATCATTAAAAATAGATTAAACTCTTTAAGGTTTACAATTGAAACAATAATTGTAAATATTAACCTTTAAGTATGAAAACTGAATATAACTGATTCAATAGACCCTTCAGAAAGAGTGAAAATACAAATCAAATCCTTAATGAAAACAAAAACTTCCCCATCATAAATAGTCAGGACAGTATAAGCTTTAATACCCCAAATTTCATTAAGTCTTTAATTTGTAGCACCATATTTAGCCAGCATCCAATCACTGCCATGTGAATGAGCTCAGTATTTAGCCGGCATCCATGTGAAATTGTGTGTGAGAGCCTCGGATTTAGCTGGCATTCACTTGATGTGTGTACAAGCTTCGTATTTAGCTGGTGCTCGTACACGCAGAATAGTATTGAGCGTGTTGAAAAGTAATTACTGAAATGCCAGATTCAAAATTTCCTTGTTGTAATATCATATTAAAAATTTATTGTTTAAATTATTCTTTTGCAACAACTCAGAATTTACAACAAAATTGCTACTCATTAAACCATAATTTTAAAAAAATGGAAAGAAACAATTTATATTAAGAACGATCTTTTAAATGTTTTCCATTTCAGAATTACTTTTTAAACTAACAATTTTATGCTTTTGTATTTTCCTTAGTAGTTCATGCCTTAATCTAGCCAAAGCTATTAGGGAAATTTTTTTTCTATCTTGTGTTCTCTCGAATTGCGTTTTTCTATAACAATTCTGTGTAAAAATCTATAAATAATGTCTCGTTTACGCGATTTTGCGAAAGTAACACAATTTGAATTTAAGACTAGCAGAATTCCGAGAAAACTTTGTCTGAATATAAAATGTTGATCCGGGAAAATCTGCAAATCAACAGTCTTCAGATTAGCGGAATTCCGTGAATTAACGGAAAAATCATACCCCTGATATATATTGTTATGTAACACTTAAATAAGAAACTCTGAACATCAGCTTAATGACACGAAGTGTGCACGGTGCACTGTTTAGTGGCATCATTTCAACAAGCAGTTTGTCATAATGAAAGAGTCAATTACGTATAAATGTATAAGTAAAAGTGGTAAAATATAAATGTAAAAGTAGTAAAATATATATTAAAGTAGTTTTAATGTTTACCTGCTCTACTTGATACAATCTATTTTTATTGGAAGCAACTTCAGCGGCAAAAGCTTGATGCCGCATCCATTTACTGTGAATTGTTTTAGCACTTCGATAAGTTTCATCTTGAGCAATTATAGATTTCTCCTGAATCCATTCATTCAACTATAAAAAAAATAGATAGTAAGCAACTAATCAAATTCTAAAAAACTTCTTTAAAGCACTGAGCTTTATAATTTCAGACTAAACAGTAGAAAAAAATTATGATTGTAATAGTTATTATGACTTTATAAACTGAAATACATTTTAAAAAAATACAAGATATAGTTTCAAGGTTAATTTTCTGACCTCTTCGCAGTCTTGAAGGAAGTGGTGTAACATTAATTGGTCCTTAAGTTTTTCCATCATCTCAGCAGCCTGTGCATGATTGGCATTTCGTCTATATAATTAAAATGTTTAGTAAAAATTAGTAACAAAATTCTCATAGATTCAATGTATTTTTATAATTAAAATGAAACTGTATAATAGTTCCTTCTCTACGAAATATTACAGTGCGAATTGGATTTAAAAACACAGTTAATAATAAGAAATTGAAAGCTAGATTCTAATATATATTTAATGTCATATTAAAATGTAATTTCAATTGACAAAGCTCATAGTCTGGGGAAATTTGATAAAAAGCCAAATGAGAATAAAAATTAAAAGGTGTAAAATAGAGCAAAATAATTTTATGTTCTTAAAAAATTAATATTTCAATTCATGTGTAAAGATAAAATCCATAATGCTTTTTGCATAAAAGCATGAAGTGTAAACTCAAGAAAGGATATAGAAGAGAAACTTATGCATATTTTAGCTTAGAAATTTAAGAAATAAATAATGAGCAAAAATAGATTTACACTTAACAAAGCTTTAAAAAAATAACAATACTGTTATGGTATTCAAAATTTAATTCAGGATAAAAATCACAAGTTAAATCAGCCTACCCAAAGAAAAAGAAGCAAAGGAAAATCTTTTATACATTTTTGTCAGGGCTTAAAGTTTAAATAATTTTAAAATTCAAATTTTTCTTTTAACTGAAAATAGTTATTTACCTTTCAGTAATATTTTCAGCTTTCTTGTGCACTTTATCAGCTTCAAAGTTACCCTCATCACACAGACGTTGAGCAAACATAACAACTGCGTTAATTTTTTCATCATTAGCTTCCATAGTAGCCAAATAAGTTTCATGTCTTTTAATTAAATCTTCAGCTTGTTCAAGATTAGTCTGAAAATTTTTTTTAAAAATTTATGTTATTTAAGGCATAATAAATTGAAACAAATCTTACAATAGTATTTCAATAATAATGCAAATTGTGCATTAAGAAGAACTGATTTACTAATTAAACTTAAAATAAATTTAAAGTTGTTAAGCCCAAATCATAGATGAACAATCAAATCATATTTACTTAAACAATCATTTGAAAATAGGCTTTTAAAATTTGCAAAATTTACTAACAGTAAAAAGTATTCAAAATCATAAAGTATTTTATAAACAAAAAATACATCCTGATAAAAAAAAATTTATTCAATTCAAAAAAAGAATTTTTTTCAAGCAAATGATATAACTGTGGCAGTTTAGAAATTGTTTTCGAATTTTTTAACTTTTGTTTCTACAATAAAATATGATATAACAAGACACATTTTGGTTTAAATTGTTTTACAGCAATGTGAAAAATTTGGAAGTTATTTCTTAGTAAAAATGTGAAGGTCATAATTTAACAAAAAAAAAGTAATCATAAAAACAATTTATGTAATCATAAAAATTATGCATGGCAAAAATAAACAGCAGATACATACTGGTACTTCATCTTTAGATAAGTAGTGCTCTTGTTGATTAAGTATGACCTCAGCTTGTTTAGCATCACGCATAAACATTTGTAAGTTCAAACTCTGAGACAATAGTTGCTGTCTATTCTCCCACATCTGGTGAAGTTCTGTCCATCCATCTTGCAATGACTTTAGTCTCTGTGGAAAAAATTGGTATAAAGATAATCATACATTTTCTGTTTTTATTCTTTGTTTTTGACATTAACCTTATAAACAATATTAAAATAAAAGTATAATAATTAATCTTAAAAAATAAATAATTAATGGATTTAATTATGTAATTAACTTTAAATTTAAAAGTAATTGTGAGGTTAAAGAAGATTAACTTTTATTAAAGAATGAAAAACAATTTTATGAAATTCAGAAATGAATTATCTAAATAAACGCATCGAAGGAGCTTGAACTGATTAAACTAAAAACTAGAACAACTGTAAATTATAACACATTTTCAAAGTAGTGAATACTATAATTACTCCAAGTTAATAATAAAAAAAATAAATAAACAGAAAAAGGCTGGTTTAATGCCGAAAAGCAAAAATGAGTAAAAGCAAGGATGAATTCCATTGATAAAATAAATTCAATTGAAAAAAAATACAAAAAAATACTGTATACCTCTCTCAAAAACATGTATTGAGGATCAGTCTGGTCTTGAGTGACTCTCTCTCCATATTCCATCATTTCGTCGTAATCTTTAGTGTAATTGTCAATCTCATCCCTAATCTGTTGATGTTGACTAAGAAGTCGCTCAGCTTCAGATAAGCTAGTTGGAATATCTTCAGAGGCAACATCAGTCTGAGTCTTGGTAAGCCAAGCTTGGAAGTGATCAAGATCTCGCAAAAAGCGATGGAGGTCACCAGCTTCTTCAAGTTTAGAATCACGATCTTTAAGCTGTTTTGAGACAAACGGGTTAGCCAATATTTTGGTATTTTAAATTTGAAAAAGTTGGAAAGTTTATAATATAAATATGAGCTTACCAGTTGAGTTAAGTCTGCCCAAACGGTCTTAATTTGTGTGATTTTTTCTCGGATGGCTTCAGCTTCCTGTAAAATGAAAAATTATGCTTTAAAAAATTAGATTTGCAATGCAAACAAAATATTTAACTGTTAATCATCAAGTATGTTTTTTAATCCAAAAAGTTAAAATTGTTTTATATCTAACTTATTTATAAAGTGTTAATTGATCACACAACAGTTGTTCTTATACAATTTCAACTAAATTTTTAAAAAATGTATGCATTCCACTAAAGACAAAAAAAAAATAAGAATAATGCAAAACCTTTTTTTTTTTGCTAAATAAAATTTAAAATTTCTTTAATTAAATCTTAAACTACATGCATTAATTAGAATGATAGTTAATTATACTAAATTATGGTAGACATTAATACTAAAAATAAATTTTAAAACTGCAAATTTTTCCACTTTTAATAATAGAACAATAAAGAAAAATAAGCTGGTTGAAATCTTATTGCTTTCAGTTAAAATTAAAATTTTAACTTCTCCAATAAATGTCTAAAAAATAAAATTAGCATTTAATTACCTAATTAAACAACTTAAAATGAACTGAGGAAAACAAATAATTTGATAAATTTTTTAAACTACAGCACAAAAATTAAAAAAAATAATTAAACATTTTATTACCTCAGGATGATCACCTTGTATTTTGTTTGCTTCTTTTTCTAATGAATCCAGCTAAGAAAGAGATTTATAAATCAATTCTAGGAACTTTTAAACAAATAGCATCAAAAATATAAAAAATTGATTAACTTCAAATTCAGGACAAAGATGTCATCTTGGACAAGACAACTTTTCTGATTCTCTAGTTTGCCATATCATTTAATTTACTTGCTTTTAATGTCTTAATTTCCTTTCCTGCCTCAAAAAATGTTGTTAAAAAGTAATCACATCAAAACAAATAAAAAAATTGATTTTGCAAAAAAAAATACTTTAAGTAATAATTTTAAACGCTGGAAAAATATTGTGTAAAAAGTAATGCATAAAATTTAAAATCAATTGGTAGGTTAAAGATTGAGGTGGTTAATATTTGGTACTTAACTAAAAAACTATTTGTGGTGGAATTATTAGCAATCCAACCAAGTTTTTTATTTTCTCAGAAAGCTTTAAAATAAGCATAGCTTAATTGAAAAAAATTTATGTCAGACAGCCAATGTATTTGATCCTGATTCTCATAATGCTTTTAAACAAAAGTTTTCAAGAAAAAAAAGTCTTTTAATTGGGCAAGTTCTGATTCAAACAAAATCATTCTCCTCTTACAGCAAGTATGAGGACACACAAAATGTTGTAAATATGAAAGGATTTTTCTCTATTATCTTGATGTAAGACTATTTTCAAAAATCTGTAATAAAGGAGACTTAATACAAGATAAAATATGTGCACTTGGCCAATTGTCAAGGCATGTCCTGTGACATAAATAATCATTCAAGAGGTTTTTAAGCTGAATAAAGAAATATTTTTATATGCTTCAATTTTGATTTTAAAAAATAATTTACAGATGAATTAAAATTAAATATGGCTAAAAATTAATTTAAAAGATCTATTTAATTTCACAAACTCTTTAATTAGACAAACAATAGCATCAAGAGGAAAAAAATCTTATCAAAAATTGAATTTACAAGCTAATTAAAAAAAGGAACCTTATAAATATATTAATTAAACAAAAAATTCATTTCACCATTAAAAATATTTTACTATAAATACATCAAGAAAATTTCTATCATCAATAACAATAAAATATATTACAATAATGAATTTGTTACCTTGGCTTGAATAGCAGCCAAATCTCGTTCCATACCACTCAGTCTTCTTTGTAGCGTCATTATGCCAGTCAAATCATTACCAAGCTCCTCTGTAGCATGAAGTAGTTTAGTTTTTTCTTCAATCCAAGTCTACAATAAAGAGTTTATGAAATATCTTAAAGTGTTGCAAATAAAGTTTTCTCTAACTAAAATTCATAATAATATAATATAAAACATTTGAACAACATTATTACAACCGAGAACAATCCAAAATACTTATTTTAAAGCAATAGATTTTTTACAAATATTTTGTATAAATAACTCATCTTTAACTATCAACTTTCTGTTTTAAACAAATAACAATTAAACTAAAATAAATACTATTTAAGAAAAGTGCGACTCATTAACAGAAATACAATTAATTAGATTTTAAAATTGCCAAAACTAGTTAAATTATACATGAAAATGGAATAATAAAAAAAGTTTAGAAAATATAAAACACTAACAAGCTTTTCAAGTTATGAACGAAATTTTCAACTTACAATTGTCTCTTTACATTCAATATGGAATGTTTGAACCCCATGATTAGAATTAATTTCCTCTTTCTTGTGTTCAGCAACTTCTCGAAGAGAGGACCATCTACATTGAAAACATAGAATAGTTAGAAGCACTATAAACAATCTAACTGTGGTAATTAAACATTTAATATTGAAATTTTAAATTATTTTAATAGCAATAGATTTATTTATCATGAAACCTTTTAGTACAGAATAAATATCATGCACTAGTTGACAACAAAGATAATTTTATCTTATATGTTCAGAATCTTAAGTGAAAGATGGATAGCAAATATTAAATTTGTTGCACTAATCACAAAGAAGTATTATGGGAAAACTTCAAGGATGATTCTTCTTATTCTGAAATCTAACAATTGGAAAAAATCCAAATAATTACATAAAATTTTGAAAATAAATGTGATTATTTCTACTGAATAAAGATAGCTTTAAAACAAATTTTAATATCCTTAATTTTTTTTATTTTTTATTTACACTGACTCTTAAGAGTTTGTTTATATGGTTTTGTGAAACAAAATTTTATGAAAACAAAATTGGGCACCACATGTTAAATAAGAATTAACATCAAATGAAGTAAGATATTATTTTAAATGCCTAGGATAATACTTACGATATTATTTTAATTAAATTAAAATTTTATTTAAGGTAAAGCAAACTTGGGAGGAACAAACTGAGATGAGATAGTAGAAAATCCAGAAATATTAGTCATAGCAAAGCAATTGGCATATTGCTTTGCATATATTCACTGGTACATACATGTAAGATTGAAAACCAAAGTGTAGATGTTAGAAGAAAATAAGCATTACAGAAGCAACAGCGAGATAGATGAGAAAAAGAAACTTCCCATTTCACTTTCTCGTGTAAAAACTATTTTGAATAACATTTACTTTACAGAGATTACTGACGGCCATTAAAGGAATAAGACGTCTCCTGATGATGTATTTAGATTTTGAAGAAATAATTGTCATTAATTAAAGATCAGGTTTTCAGTTTAAGATTTTTATTATTATTATTAATAGTTATTTATAAGTTGGAACCTTACACACAAACATACCACTCAGTCTTCTTTGTAGTGTCATTATGCCAGTCAAATCATTACCAAGCTCCTCTGTAGCATGTAGTAGTTAGTATATATATCAGAAGTCTGTCCAGGCCAAATTTACTACTGTTTTAGCGGTACCTTCACAAATTAAACTTAAGAAAAAATGGTAGTTTCACAAAATACTTTCTTAAAATTTTGTTTTTCTATCTTGTAAGAAACAATAAATCCATATTATTGTGTTGATATTTTAATATAATTTTTAATTTTCACAAATTATGTCTTAATTTTCATAAAATAGGTACCTCTCAGAAAAATCTAGACAGACCCCTGCATATATAAAGAAACTACTAAGTAAAATATTTTGCTATACTGCAAATTATGTAAAATATATTTAGCCAAAATGAATATTCATAGCATCTTAAGATAAATGTAAGCTTGCATAAAAGCAAAATCTACAGAATGTTAATGTTATGATAAAATATTAAATTTAAAATACCTTTGATTTAGTTGGTTTTGGCGAGCTAAAATTTCTTCAGAATTTGGATGTTCCACGTGCAACAACTGTCTTGCCAATTGGTTTACAACAGCCAACCTAGTAGCATTCGAGTTCATTTCCTGTTCAAATCCTTCAAATCTATGTTTCATTACTTCAATATCTTCCATGTCTCTGCTCATCACCATGCTCTCCATCATCTTGTCCTACAAAAAAAAAAAAGTTTAAATAATTAAAAAAAATGTTTTGTAATAACCAAAAATAATGAAATTACAAAAAAAAGGACATATATAACAAGCATAGAGGGAAATGAAATAACTAATTTTAAACAGGCAGAAAAATGCCAAAAAACACCTAAGATTTAGAAGAAGAAAAAGTTTGCTTGAAAAACAAGACAATTCAGTGCAGCAAATTTTTAAGTATAAATATTCTTGTCTCAGTCTTTGAATTGACTTCAAATGGTAAGCTCAATCAAATTCAATGCCATGATAATTAGAATTATTTTTTAACGTTAAATAAAAAAAATTATATATCATTAATATATCAATAGTTCAGAAACTGGTGTTTAAAAAATGTTTAAATGACATGTGATCTCAATCACACAATAAACTTCAAAATTTGACCAGTCTTTAAACATTAGAAAAAAATTTAAAAAATTATTTAAAAAAATATTTCTTGCTATTTTCAAATCTTCTCTGTACAAAAATTAGAAAATAATAAAAATTAAGAAAAAAGATCTTTTTTTTTTTAAAAAAAAAAAGGTAAAAATCAGGTCTGAATTATACATGCCTGTATTTTAATTACCTGATACATTAACAATTGATCCTTAATTCAACTGATTTAACCAACAACTATAACATTAGAAATATAAAAAACACTGATACATATATTAGTTAGATACAAAACAGTGCTTTCATCATAGAAAAAAAATGGGTGAGAATTTCTCACCCTTTCTCAAAAACAGGGTGAGATTTCAAAAAGTTAAGTGAGATTTCTAAAAACACAAAAACTCTTGAAAAAAAAATCATTTCTTTAATTATAATACATTTTTAACGTCTTCTATTTTTTAAAGCATTGAATATTTTTGGTGCATCATCATAGAAGATTTTGCCTTTACAAGGTATTTGTCCATCTTACATAAGTGCATAAAAAATTTGAACGTCTTACAAGAAGAAACCTTACCTACGGTAAACACGTGGTTGCAGAAAAATGTGTTCTGCTGTTCGGAAAGTTTCTGAACAATACTGGTAAATAGGGAGGCTAGATAATGGGGCAGATGTTGAAAATAATTAAAGATCCAGGAAGAAAAGTGAAACGGATTTTATTCTAAATGGCGTAATTTGAAGCTTTTTCCAAAATGCGAGAAAATGGCGAATTTTGAAATTGATTTATAGAATGCGCGAATTTCTCGCGGTAATCATTTTTTAATGCGAGAAAAGAAAAAAATATGCGAGATTCTCGCGTTCTCGCGCTGTAGTGAAAACACTGCAAAATCTAATGAAAAGTACCACTTTGACACTCAAAATATTTATAACCGAATAAACAGAAGAATTTAATATATGTTCTGATATGTTCAAATTTCAAACGATTTTGGTGAATTAGCAAGATACAAAGCTATGACAAAAATTCTTAAGAAAACTATTTTCACGAAGCATTATATTTAAAAATTTAAACTAATGTTTAATTCTATTCTTTAAGTTTTTGATCAGATTGCAGTAAGATTAAATTAAGAATTATTTAAGAATTTAAATGGCATTTCAAAAGTTAATTACTTCAGGGATAAGTAATGGTAAAAAAATATATCCCAGTGGCTAAAACATTAAAAAAAAAATTTTAAAAAAAGATCCAGATAGCAATGATATTGAGTTGACACAAAGAAAAATTTAAATTTTAAATAGCATTGAACAAAATGATTTATATCTTTAATAATCGGTTGTATTATATTTAAAAAAAAAAATATGAGCTCTTGACAATAAATTATTTAGCAGTTGGTTGAAAAATAATTAAAACTTAATTTAATAAGAAAAAAAAACATTTTTACTGTGTCTCTTTAAAATAAAGTTTATTAATACCTTTTCTTGAATCCATTGTTCTACACCATCAGCCTCATTAAAGAGTTTATACAATGAAAGGGCATCTAACAGTCGTTGCTTCCTTAATTTTGCAAGCTCCACAAGATCCTTGTATCGACGATCAATACTTGCCAATCTCTCCAGAACTTCTGGAGCTTCCCGGTCCTGAAATTGTGAACAATAGTTTTTAGACAAATTTGATTTTTAAAAAGACTTTATAAATATTTAAAAATTATAATTAATTTTTTTTTTCAATAAAGATTTAAACTTTGAATACCTTATCTCCAAGACCAGATGCTTGAGTATGCAGAGCATCAATAGTGTTTGCATAGTTCTTCAATTCATCAGTAACATCCTAATAATAGAATTTAAAGTTAAAATATATCAGGAATATACAAGAACTTTGTAAAAATTATACTTTACAATTTAGTAAAGAAAAAATTGTCACCTTAACGTATTTTACAATTGTACTTTTAATGGGTTCAGACATTGAAAAATTAAGGTAGAGGAGTTACTTAGCAATAAGACACCAACCTTTTAAATTTTTAACTAAGATCCTAGCTTATACAAATTTTTTGAATAAGTTGTTTTACAAGGAACTTAAACAAATTTGTATTATTTATGATACAATCTACATTTAAATCAATAATAATTATATCAAAATGAGTGAAATCAAATAAAAATAGGCCCCATTAATAAAGTTCAGAAAGCTTAAAAGCTAGAGCATCTTTAACTGACAGCAAATTTATTATAAATTTTTCCAATTTACAACAATTCAACTATCACACTAGCCCTTTATTTTTTTACTAATTTTTCTGATCAAACATTAATCTTACATTTACATTATCATTAAATCATAAAACAAAACATTTGACTAGGGTAATCTACAAACTAGGTATTTAATAATAACGATAATAATTACAAATATTTTAGATATATTTAATTTCCAATATTTCATAAACATGGTTCTGATCATTATAACATAATATTGTAATAGTATTAAATTTATAAAGCAATTACAACAGATACGATTTTAAAGTATTTCAGTGGAAGAAAAATTTGAATTGTTTATTGTGATATTCAAATAAATCCGCAAGAAAAATTTTAAACCGTGTAATAGTTGGTTTAAGTTTTAAAAAAATTTATTCAAAATTAGTATTAAAAAAAAGTAAGTTTTTCTTTAAATACTATGTATTTAAAAAGCAATTTTTAAAAAAAAACTACCTTGTGTTTTTTCAATAGGGACTGAACATTAGCTTCATCACAGCCAACGTCTTCACTGGAAACCAATCTAAGAGCATCCAACATCCAAGTGTCAACATCATCGGCATCAGCAAAGAACTAAAAGTAAAATCAAAAAATAATTAATACAATAATAAAGACAGTATTGATTTGGAGATTTAAAACGAAATACATACTTGATGATAATCAACAGCATCGTACAGGCGTTGTTTTCGCTGAGCCAGCAATTCTTTCAAGTGGTCCCACATACTATTAACTTCACCGATTCTATCACCAATTCTATCAGAGCCAAAGTGATTAGCAGTAATTAAATCTTCACCCACTTGAATAACATCTTGCAACTGTTGCTCATGTGAAGCAATTTCATCCTCCATAGCCTAAAATTAAGATAATTCTTGTTTTAGGACCTTAAATACTATTTAAAATTGTTGCAATTTTTTAAATACTGATTATAAATATAGTGAACGATGCAATATCTGGATGAACATAAAAGAGCCTATCATGTACATTTGTTTCAACAACCTGAATAACAAATTCCTGAAGATAATGCTTTCTGAATAACAATTCTTTCAAGGTTAATAAAAACAGATATACAATAAACTAATGTTAATTAAAAATCAAAAGAATCGAAAAAGTTAACAAAACTTTAAACTCTTATTTTTAACTTAAAATATGTTGAACTCTGAAACAATATAGCATAGTTGCATTCATGTAGATAATAATACTTTTTAAGAGCTAATATTTAAAATTAAAATCATAGTAGTAATTAAACATGACAAAAGTTAAGAAACGTTTGCTATAAGGTAATATCAGATAATTATAAACTGTTTTAACTATTAATATCCGTCTTCTATTCATATCCGTTCTTATAAGAATCCAAAAAATTCTGAAAAAAATTTATTTCCCAATAAAATTTATAAGGCAATTTCACTGTTTTTTACTACAAGTAATACATAAAATTTATTTAACATATTGGTCAAAAAACATTTCTAAAAAATATAAAAAAAGCTTGAAATATCATAGCCCCAGATATGAAAATAAAAATAATTTTGTTTTTATTCGTAAAAACTACATAAAATTATAACTCATAATTTTCCCTCTGATACGGAATCGCCCTATTGCATTATGCAGCCCATGATTTATGTAAACTGAGTAAAATAGTTACTACAAATTAAAATCTAAACTGTAAACATTACCTTGTTTTTGCTAATGAGGAGATGAACTGTGGTCAAGTCATGACCTATTTCTTCAGAAGACAAGATTTGTTCTTTTTCTTTTATGTAAGTTTCTTCTTCTGTCATATCCCAATAGAACTGCCATAATTTTCGAGACTCATCAAGCATGTTTCTTCTTTCAAGAGCTAAGTGGACCAGCTCTGAATAAGCAGCTTCTAATTGGTCAATTCGCTCAGTTACTATCTTAGGATCACATGGACGATAACCTACACACATACAATAAAGGAATAAGTCACTATAATAATTATACAAAAAAAAAAAAAAAAAAACATTTAAATTGTAATTAGATTAAATAGGGTATCTGTTACATTTTAGATTTTCAAATTCATGACTTTTCATGATTAATTCCAAGAATTTTTCATGACTAAACGAAGTTACTATTTTCTACGACAAATACACAACAATAAATTTAAAAAAGCATTATAATAACATTCATAGAAAAGACAGGTATAACCAAAACTGCTATACTCTGCATCTTCATTTCTACAGATTTTAAATTTAAAAAACAGTAAAGAAAGAGTTGAAGCAATAAAATAGCTGAAAAAAATACAAAAGCAAAAAAAATTTTTTCCCCCTACAGAATTGCATTTTAAAGATATTTTACTTGTTCATCGGAAAGGAAAGAAATACTCCTGATTTTTCTGTTCTTATTTCGGAATACAAAAAATTCGCCAATGACTGGCTTGCTTCAGCTAAAATCTTAAATTGATAAAATAAAATTAAAATAAATAATAACAGAAATTTTGAAATCACAGAAGTTTAAAAGATAATTCACTCTAGAAATGTTAGCACGATAAAAACATTTTATATTTTTTATTTCTAGAGCACAAAAAAAAAACATTTTATATTTTAATCAAATATGACTCTGAGTGGGGATATTGCAACAAATGCAGATATTTGGAACACCATGAAATTGGGGGGATTAAACATTTCATTTTAAAAATAAGATTCTTCGGCGACCTAAATCCATGACTTTTCATTATTTTTTCAAAAAAAATTGTTAAAATCATGACATTTCATGACAAATTTTGTTCAATAGTGAAATTCATGAGTTTCCAGATGTGCGGATACCCTGTTAAATTAAAAAAGGGTCACAGTAGTGCATTGATCAGTTTAAAAATACATTAAAGCTCATAAAATATTTAAAAAAAATTTTTTTTTTTAATTTCAAATTTAAGTTTTGTTAAGAACCTAACAATAACCTAAGTTACAACTATAAGCTTTATATTTCCCTCTTAACTATTTTCTTACAATCTTTAGAATTAAATCTGTGTTTAGTATGGCTAATTCCTGCTTGTAAACAATAATTGTTTAGTCTAATGATACTATACATTCTGTTACGAAAATAGTACAACAACCAAAAATAATTTGTTACTGCATCGCTTAAAATTAATAGTTACTCAAGGTTTTCTTCTCAAGAATATCAACTAAAACACTTTAAAAAAATGATTTTCACAAAAAAATTGCACTTAAAGGTTTCATGATGTTTAAAAAAAATACCTTCATTGAAAAATATTTGAATTATAAAATTATGTAGAAATTTTTTAAAATTATAACAATTTTATATAAAAAATATAAAATGGTAAAAAAGTGCAGCATTTAAATTTATTTTAAAACATACATATTTGTTCCAAATATATTTTACAATGAATATTTTTACCTCGTTTCCAACAAATATAAAGCTATAAATTCAATAAAATAATTGATTTTTCACACCCAAAAACTAAAATACACTTTTAAAATATTACATAAACAATTTCATTAAGTTTTTTAATTTATTTTTTGTATATTTTCTTTATTTTATTAAACATTTAAGCAAAGATTTTATGCAAAACCATCTTGGAATGACACATCATGGGTGCAAGTTGGAAAAAAGGCCAAGACTGAAAATATTTTGACTGAAATACCTAACATACAAAATATCCCCTCAAATAATGCAAACTAACTAAGAAAGCTTTACCATAATACATCAAGTTTAAATACTGTACAAATAACAACAGGACAAAAGAAAGTAGACCAATAACGTAGACCTAAAAAATATTTTTACGGACAGAAAAGAAAATTCCGATTTCCGTCTTCGAGTCAGTCTTGTTTCCGTCTTACTTCCGTCCGCGGACATTTTCGAAAGACGGAAATCCGTCCTGTGGACGGAAGACTTGCACCCATGCGACACCTATAAAAGCGGTTTTGAACTCACTGCAAAACTAATTTTCCTGTATTAATAGGTAAAGGGAACCTGAACAAGATAGAAATAATCTATTAAATTTGACTAAATGCATAAAGGGCAGGGACAAATCAATTATAGACATCTCTTACCATGCTCTTCTTCGGTAACAAATTTTTGAGAATGTTGTACAACAGCTTTCACCCTCTCGCCTAAAACATTTATATCAGCTTCTACCAGACTATGCTTTTGTAATAAGTCTTCAACTCCCATGAGATGTTTGCCATAATCTTTAGATAACAATCTAGCCTATTAAAATAAATTCAAAAGCATGTAAGAAAAAAGAAACAAAAACATTAATGGCAGTTTTAAAAATTACACAATATAAGTAAATTAAAAATTTATTAATAAAGAAATAACAGGTTATAAGTGGTTGTGATAGTGTTTAAATCTTGTATCTTTACAAAATATTAAAATTTTATACTGAATCCTTAATTTTGAAATTTTATTTATTTTACATTCTTTCTTATATTTTCGATTGCTATACGTTTCCCTAAGATGCTGTTTTGAAAAATGAAACGGATGATATTGTTTTAAAATCTATTGTCAAACATGATATTGTAAAAAAAAAAAGTTTACAAATAGCAAATTTTGAAAATTAAACAATGAAAAATATAAATTGTAATTATAAACTTTATTAATAAAAAAAACATGTTATAAGTAGTCCAGACAATGTTTAACTCTCGTGTCGTTACAAAATGTTAAAATTTAATACTGAATCTTTTATTTTGAAATTTGTGTTATCTTTTTGTATTCTTCGTTATATTTTTTCTTGCTAACATTTCCCAATGATGCTGTTGTAAAAAATAAAATGGANGTGATGACTTAAAAGTGCGATTAAAAATTGCCATTTTTTAAAATTTTTTTATTGTGTTTAGAAGCTCTCGCGGGCCGCACTTCAGTAGTCGAAGGGCCGCATTTGGCCCGCGGGCCGCAGGTTGTGCACCCCTACTCTAAGATATTTAAAAGCAAAAACCAAAAAAATAAACAGGAAATAAAAATGCCACCAACCTGGCATTAATTCTCTCAATGTCATGATAGTTTTCAGTCTCTAGTTCTTGAGCAACAGCAACAACTGCTTGTACTCTTTCTTCATAAGCATAAATATCAGTCTCTATTGCTTCGTGTTTTTTAGCAGCTGCTTCAACTGATGCCAAATCAAAGCCGAAGTTGTCTTGTGACACAAGGCGTTGGTTTTCACTTAGCCAAGCTTCTCTCATTCCAGCCTTACGATCAAATCTGGCAGCTAATTGTTCCAATTTTTCTTGCCTAAAAAATTATTTTTTATAATTAGAAAGAATAAGTTAAAATCTTTTACATTGCATGAAATTGAGATACGAAAATTCATTAATATTGGCACTCAAAGTTTACAAACAAAATTTAGTGTTCATACACTAAGGTAGGTCATTGTTTATGGAACCAAAATGATAGTATGTCCATTTCTGCACCATTCACATTTTTTTCTTTATTTAGTCTACAGACTATTTCTTTTTTCTTTTAAGTAATGTTGGCTGAGACTATGTATCACTAAGTTATTCTGAAAGATAATTGAAACACTTTTAATAGAAAATTAATCTATAAGTTTTTTTTTTTTTTTTTTTTTAATTTTTACTCAGAATTTTTAAAGACATTTTTTTAAGCAAAATGAAGTGTATATATTAATTCTTTATTAAAAAAATAAAGATTTTAAAATCAAATAAATAAAAAATATGCACTTTAATTTAAAGTCTCTACAGTTCGCTCAGTTTTCTACTAACTGGTAGCAAGGGCAATTGCAAACAAGCATCGAGAAAAATTATTATTTCATCAATCTAATGTCTTGTGTGACAAATTGTTCATTGAACATTTGAGTAAAATATATATTTCTGTATACCTAATTTTAACAACTCCAGCTTTAACATAAAAAATTTAAAAATACAAAAAAATTTACAAAATTTAAATGCTACAGAAATAGTTTGCTCTCTGCTTCATTAACAGCATATCTATATTAAGGAAAAAGAAAGAATCAAGTTAGTAATTTTTTTTCCGCTGAAATACCTGTTAGTAATCATAAAGGTGAAGAAATTTATACGCATTTATTTCCATTAAAAAAATACATCTAAAAGTATTATAACAACAAAAAATTTTAGCAAGCACCATTAAACTAATTTTATTTCTTTATTTGGCAGACGCCCAGCACGGGTAAGCCATTTATATAGGGAATAAAAAAATTACCACAAAAAAAAAGAAAGTAAAGTATATACTAATTCTTTTTTTCTTTTTTTTTTTAACCGAAAAAATTTAAATCTTCAACTACACATTATTTTGTAAAACAAAACTACAAAGTTCAATATATACATATACAAAAAGTTAAAAAAATCTCAAAAAGATTTAGTGAACTAAACAAAATTAAATGATTTATGAAACAGAAAAAAAAAAAAAAAAACAAGTTTCAAAAAGCGAATAAAATGTTTCAAAAATCACATTTTTAACTTTACTAATGAATTAATTGTAACAGAAAAAAAAAATACTTTAGGATGTATAAATAGCTTCAGTTAAAGAAAAAATTTAAAATATAATGCCCAGCTGATTATGTCAAAAAAGTATCAAAATTATTGTCAGTATCATTTTCATATTTGAAAATAATTTACCTTCGATTTCTGAATTTTGTAATTACTGAATAATAAGAGAGAAGAGAAAAAATTCAAATTCAACCATTTCACAAAAGGAAAAAAAGTTTTTTTCAAATAACCTGATCAATTCTTCTCTCAATGCCAACTCTCTTTCATGTTCAGCTTTTTCAAGACGTTCCCAAGCTCTATTAATATCAGCAATCATCATACCTTCTTTTGGAGCATATGGTTTCTGGTTGTTAGCTCTCATTTTACTTACTAAAGTAAACAGAGCTATTTCAAGATTACCTTTTTCAGTGAATCTATAAAAAAATAGATATATATATATATGTAATTCATCAAAAGAAAGAACAATTTATATCAACAATGCAAAACAAAATATTCTTTACAACCATGAAATATATTTTAAAAAATATTTGAAACCTCTTGCAGGCAAGAGGTATCAAACTAGCTCAGTATATTTTAATGCATTTTTTAGCATTATATTTAATGTTTAATAGCAAAAATTCAATATATTTACTTTGGTGGTTTTTCAGCAGTTCTGTAGTTATTAAATGCAGACATTTGTTGTCTCACACCAGTTAATGAATTGGCAAACTTTCTGTCAGATAAAGCTGTTATTGTTTGCTCAATCCATTGAAGAAGATCTGATGTTAATGTTTCATATTCATCAATCAATTGGTCATTTTCCTTTGCTAAACCTATGACCTAAAATTAAAAGATTTGCAAAGTTAAAGAAATAGGTTAAACTAATGACAAAATGATGCAATCATTAACTAATAGATAAAAAGTATACAGGTAATAAAAATATGTTACTAAAACTAAAATAAAAAATTCAAATTATTTAATTTAATATTTACATCATTTCATTGTAACTCAAGAAAAACAAATATTGTAAGCTCAAAGTTACCTTTCCAATTCTTCTACCTTGAACTGTCTCTTGCTTCATTTTTGAGAAGTAATGATAATATGTGACAACATATGTAATGATAGATTTTTCATCCGGACTCTCCACATAAACATCTAAAAATAATTAATTTTAGAATTTTATGTTAACTTGATCCACTATAGTTTACACACATATCTCACTATCTTTCAACTTATTCCTTATAAAAAAATATATCACTTTTAAATGTAAAAAAAAGCAGGAAATATTTAAAATGGCTTTAATTACAACAAGAAACTTAGTCTTAAAAAAGAAGCAAAGAAAAAAAAACATGAATGGTACAGTAACTCTGAAATGATAAGTGAATTATCAAAATTACAGGAGTTCTCATATGTTCATTTTTTATAGCTAAACCTATGTGTAATAGACAATTTTAACTTTATTTTGTCACCATAAAAAAAAACATGAAAAAAGAAATTAAGACTAAAGAATGCATGGCTGCAAATACAATAACATACAAAAAATATTATGAAACTTAACATTTTTTGCCAGCACTTCAAGGCATAATCATGTAAATAGAATATATATATATGTAAATAACATAATATTCAAATTAAATAACATAAGGAGAAGGAACATAATTTTTTTTCCAGTTACATAATTTTTTAAAAAATTAACTAAAACAATCAAGGGGGAGAAAATGAAATATTAGGGGTCTAGGAACCATATTACTTATAATATATACATTAGTTGTTTTATAAGTGAAGATACCGATTGTTCTAGAACTAATTGGACAAACAGTATGAGACATTTAAAGAATTTGAATTATCTAGAGTTAACTGTATTACATAATTAACTGTTGTTAGTTGATCTTATATCAAACAAAACTCTTTTGATTGCTAAGAAGTGGCTCCCAAAGTTAATTTTTTAATAAAAACGTACAATTAACAAAAAAATTATAGATATTAGCTGCTTACCTTCAGCATCCAACAGTCTTGTAACCCCAAGATTTTGTTCAGCTGTAGTAAATGCATTGTTCAAATTATGTATCGCATTAGATTTTGATAACTTATCATACTGTATCAAATCAGGTCTGAAAAAAAAATATTCATATAATTAAGAAAATAAATTTATTTCTATTTCAAATTAAATAAAGTATAAAAGCAAGTATTCTTCTTCTGAATTAAGTATTCTCAAAAATGCCTTAAAATTAATTCAAAAATTTTCAATGTTTGAAATGATACTTATGAAGCTAAATATACCTGTGCTTATGAATAATAGCATTGAAAGCTAAACCATCTCTCCAACTTGTTGTGAAATTCCTGATATTTACATTTGGATAACCTGCTGTTTTCATTTGGCACCATAATAACAATGCATCTTTAGCAGATTTAGTTTCTTGATTATCAACTTCCTCAATTGTAATATCTTGAATCTAAAAAATAATTAGATGGTTATGATGAAAAGGACTTTCAATAAAAAAAAAATTAATCTTTCAAAGCAAACTTTTCAAATTTGCCAAAATTTGTTTAATTTTGTATTCAATTCAGTAAAGCACAGAACTGAAGGGGTAGGCATACACTTATTCGGGTCTAAATAACAAAACATTTGCATTGCTTCTTATAAAACAAAAACCTTTCAAACCCTTAAAAAAAAATTGATGGAAAATTTTACTCACAACACATTTGAAAAACAATCAAATATTTAAAAAAAAAATAATAATAAAGCTGAGGTTAGCAAAAACCATCCAATATAATTAATGTTTAATCTGGTACAAATTTCATTTATTTAATCAAAAATATAAATAAATAAAACAGTTATTTAAAAATATGTATGTAGTGAGTTCTTAAAGTGCAGGTAATTAAGAAACTAAAAATTTGCCATTATTATTTTGCCTCAACTTGTGAAAATATTAAGTTTTCTAATATTCCCGTTGGAGAAGTAATTCATAGATTATGTTGGCACTTACCACCATCATTGGTGAACAAACACTAAAGTTTGATGAGTTTATTCCAACATTTTGTGACATTAGAATAGAGCATACAGTTGTTAAAGTATATTTTTACCAAATTATCTTTACATTTATTATACACGAAATTAGAAATGATATTTTACTTTCTTTTAATTAAGTGATAAATATTTTTCTTTTAATTGCTAGCAACTAGTTTCTGATAAATTTGCAGCAAATGTGTTAAAAATATAAGCATTAAATGAAATTTTGCTAATCAAATGCTCTAATTGTATTGCATAGGGATAAAAGATACAATAAGTCAAATAAGATTTTTTTAATTAGAAAAAATGATTTAAATTTTAAGGTAAAATAATCACATACATATTACATAAATGTAAGAAAAGAACTAACATGCTATATAATACAAGTTTAACTTTAAAAGTTAAAATATTTATGCTATATTGTGGTTAAACAATGCAGGTATGGATTTTAACAATAGTTATCAGAGAACTATATTAATTGTATTCTTGTATGTTGTGTTCTGTATTATAAAGTATTCATATAGTTTCCAAGATATTTTTAAAAACAACATAGTAAAATTGATTGACTCAATATTGAAGTTGATTATAACATAATTTAAAAATAACAATCATAACAATAACTAGACTCCAGTAATAAATTATGAAAAAAATTTAGGCAAATTTTTATTCATCAAAATAATTAAATCAGGTGTTAATTAAGGTAATTAGGTGTAAATTACCTGAAATCTCAAAATGATAGTCCATATAAGGCCAAGAGTTAAGCGTGGGTTTCCATCTACAATATCATGAGAACCCAAATTTTCTAAGTGAACACGTTGGTCCTTTAAAAACTGTAGAGCTTTGTCTACATTTTCCAAACAATGTATTCTCATTTTGCCTTTAGTAGGTTTCGGCTAAAAAAAAAGATATAACAATAAGCAAAGCATAAGAAAAAATAAAACATAAAAATTAGAAAATTAATATTAAAATATGTTTTTAAACGAACCACATCGAATTGTTTATCTTTTAGATATGTACAAGCTATTTTGAAATTTCAAAATAACATAAGACTAAATTTCACTTTAAAACTCCTTGTCAGGAACAGCAATGTAAATATTGAATCTGAAAATTGTATCCTATATAAAATCTGACAACTCAAACCAAATTTTTAAAAAAAATCTGATCACTCGTTCGTCAGTTTAGATAAAACAATAATAAGCATGATTTAACTATATATGATTTGGTTTAGGCCAGTCAAAGAAATTTTACCCTTGAAAGAGTGTTCGATTCACTTTTATGTACTGCACTTAATATTAGGCAATAGGAAGTACAATGACTTACATTGGTTTATAAAATTATCCGTATTATATTTTAAATATAACAGAATAAATGCAATATTAAAAATGTTCAAACCAACCCTTAATAAAATCAACTTTATTTAATACAATCAAGCTTTTAGAGAACACAGGGGTGATTGTGAGTCTAAATCAAAATTCCAAAAAATTTCTTAAATAAAAATTTAAATCAAAATATTAGAAAAAAATTTAAACAAGATTTTTTCATTTTTCTCAATATTTCTTAGTTTACTTAAAATATATTTAAAATTTTACACATACCTATGATGACCTGGAGAAGTAATTGAAATTTACAAACATGTCTTTTTTTTTGAGTTTATGATTATAATAACTATTCACTGATAAAAAATGAATATTAATCTTGAATATAAGCTTATAAAATAGCTGGCTCACCCTTACAAACAAATAAAATAAACTGGGTTTTTAAGTTCCACCTTTGAAAATTTGATTTCCGGAAACTTTTGCGATCAATGATTTTTTGAAACGTTTGAACCTTCGATCTCCGGAAACTTCCGGATAATGGTTAGCGAAAAAATCCGGAAATCCGGATTTTTTCCGCAGCAATTTAGAGTTTTCTTTTATTTAAAAAAAAAACAAAAATTTGAATTCTTTACTTAATACTTTTATTTTAAACTTAGAAAGATATGTAGCAGATAGATATCAATTCAAACCTGAAACCTGCGAACTAAAACAAAAACTCTACAAGTCTAAACACTTTTTGGAAAATTGAATGGTCACAGTTAAAAAAGAAAAGAAGCATAGAGAGTAATGAAAACTGCTTATGAATTAAAGAAAGCTATGGAATACCCATCAATATCAATATAATCAATAACTTAACCATTTATTGATACCTTCATGGTTGAAAGTATGAAACTGCCATAGCAAGGTTAAGAAAGTATTCAAATGTAAATAAACTAAGAAAAAAAAAGATTTAATGTCCTACTTCAATGAAATAAACCATTTATATTCTGTATAATAAAAAATATTAAAAAAAGTATAAGATAATATGATTGAACAATTTTAAACCAGTTAGCTGGTCAAATTATAATTCAGCTATTAATCAAGTTTGAGTTTACATTTATTTTAACATAACCTAAAAATTTGAGTGTTAAGGATAAATTCAAAATGCTTTTTCAAATTTATCATTGAATCTAAATATAATATTAGAAATAATTTAAGTTTTTGCAAACTATCAAATAATATTGAATTTTTAATTTAAAATTAAGCATATCAAACAATATGCTACTATTTTAAGACCCTTCAGTAAATTTAAAAAAATTAAGCTCATATTTAAACAAAATATCAAATATATAACAAAACAGTTAAAATAAGGCATAAATATGGTAAGTTAAGTTTTTATTAAATTTTCAAAGTCTAACTTAGAAACTTTTTTTCTCCGTAAGAATAGATACACCAGTTTACAAAATAAACTGCTCTGTAAAATGAAACATCCTCAGAAGAAAAGTTTTTAAAAGTCAAAGGTACTATACAAGCTTAAAAATCTGCAAAAAATTTAATTAAGTCTAAAACTTTTAATTAAGCCTTAACTAGTTAATTATGTCAGCTATTAAAATATTTTTATTAAATTACTTTTTGAGATATAGATATCAGATTTAATATAAGTTGCCAGAAATCATGACCTAAATTTCACTCTTATACAAAGTTAAATTTCACTCTTATACAAAGTTAGTAAGTGAAAAGAAAGTAGATAAATTTCCTATCTTCATTTCTACTACAACTAGCTTATAATTAAATAAGATCATAAATCCTTTTCAAACATTAATGTGAATTTTCTATTCATGCATTGCTACAAAATTAGAATAATTCATCAACAAGACATCAAGAATTTGAAATTCATGATAGGAAATACCTATAAAAAACATTCTTTATTTTCTTCGTTATTTAAAACAAATTATGGCAACAAAATTTGTTATTACTTTCTATGTTAGTTTCTCAAGGAAAGGAATCAATTTTAGACACACCATGCCAAAAATTCACCTTACTCACCAAATATATTTCTTTTTTAAACCCAACAGAAATGATATCTAGATAAAGTGTCATTCATCAGAAAACAATGTAATACAAATTTCAATACAAGGAAATTTAATACAAAATGTAGAACATTTATTAAGGCAATCAAGATTGAGCGCTTATAATTGACAGTTTTAATAATTCAAGGAAAAAAAGGAATTTTATTTTTAAAACAGTGACTTTTAAATTTTTGACAATTCTCATTAAAAATTATTTTAATAATAAATAAAAAGAGAAATGCTCATAAAAGATTTTTAAAAAATTGAATCATTGTCACATTTGGTTAAAAACATTTGATTTATAAAAAAATTTCAACAATTCATAAAATAAAAACTATGTATATTTGTTTCAAGTAAACTTGTTTCTACTTTTTTCTCAACTCTGGTCAAAACACTGATTCTTGCAGGAAAAAAAATAATAAGAGTTGAACAAATGAATTTCAATAAATTATTTTAAAAATTCAAAAAAATATCTTAACAATACTCAGAACCTTAAAAATATAAATATGAATTTGGAACTCATTCAACATCACAAATGAAATGTAAAGTCTGTCAATATTATAAAATAATTTAAAATTTTACTTCTTTTTGCTAAATTACATGAAATATAAAATTTTAAATGTTTAAAATTCGGCTCATTTTTTTTAATTAGATAAATGTATTTCTTACTCAAGTTAATAGCTCAGCTCTGGATTTTGCAATCTTAATAAACTTTATCGTTGAGCATAATTAATAAACTATGATAAAATTTTAATATGGATTAAGAATTTTTTAGCATAAAATGAATGAAAATACATAACAGAGTTCTCCCTAGGAATAAAAAAGGACAGGGCACTTTTTCTCTAAATAGGAGACCTTGAGTTTTGAAAGGGCACTCACTTAACACCATAAAAATTAATCAAGATGTGTAATATGCAAATAACTGAATATTTTCCTCAAAAATTTTGAAATTACGTTGCATACTAGTTTATGTGCATATTTCAAAAAGTAATTTTCTCTTAGAGAAATTAGAATAAGAGACTTCCTTAGAATAAGAGAAAAATTTTTAAAAATAATTGAAGGCATGAGATTTTTTTTCTTCAAAAAGAATAATTATCATAAACAAAAAATGATAATATAATGATATGATAAATAAAAAAAATAATTAATTATAATTTAAACTGAAAATAACACGAAAACAACCATTTAAAGGTGTATTTTTTTCCAAAAAAAAGGGGGGTATATTTAAAAAATAGTTTTAAAATTTAATATCATTTAAAAAATGTATTAACCCTCCAAAAAAGGCTTAAAAAACTTAATCAGTCGAAAATAATTCTAAGAAGGTAAATATTTGTGCTAGCAATCAGAGTTAAACCTATAAACACTGATAATTTTACAAGTGTGTAATTATTATTTAAAGAGTGAATTAATTTATTTTTTTTTTAAAATGGAACATGAATAAAAAAGGCAGTGTTCTTAAGGGATGGTGGCTTATTTTTACAAAAAGGGCGAAGAGGGTGAATTTATTAGGAAGTGGGAAGGGATGCCCTTCAAGAATAAATGCCCTTCAGAGAACACTGTACATAATTTGACAACACTAAATTGAACAAAATATTTTATTGTAAATTACTTACTAATCTTTCACCAGATAGAATCTCTAAAAGCTTTATTAACATTTTTCCATCTCTTAAATCTGTGTACAAGTCTGATATTCTACTATTGGCCCTCACAAGATGAGAATTTACCCATTTACAAAAGGTTTTCTTTTGTACAGCTTCTCTTTCATCTGCAATACAGAATTGTTTAACATATTTTAGTATTTTACAGAAGCAAACTTTGCAGAATATGTTTAAAGGATAATAAGAAAAACAATTATTTAATGTCAAATACAATTTTAAGAATACATAAAATATAACATTAATTTGCAAAATTCTGCAATTTTTTAATTTTTTTTCACTAATTAACAAAGCATTTTTCTCTTAATAGTAACAGTAGAATAGATGGGAAAAAGACTTTCACTAAAGTGTTTATTTAGAAGAAAAAAGTTGGAACACTTTTTAAATAGATACAAATCAAGTTTTGTATTTAATTTATACACAAATTAATAGCACATAATTTATACACTTGTCTAACAACTTTTTACTTACTTATAAAACTTATTAAATTTAAAAGATAAATCTTGTGAACTTGAATGACGAACAACTTGAAAAACTGAGCATTTTGCTTTAATTTTCTGAGTTACTGTGTATTTTAACTAGAATTTTAAGCTATTTAACCATTTTTTATACTTATATAACAAACTAACTTCTCTTCATGTTATTCAATAAAAAAAAAGAGGTATATATATGTTGAAAAATTCCACATAAAATTATTTGGATTTTGAATGCTTTTAGGATAATACATATGAAAATTCAAAATAAGTAATCCTCGACATTCTGTGATGTGAATGTCAGCATTTAGATAGTTTTGATGAAAATTCAAAACAGTTGTTAAACCTCCCTTCTACATACATTGCATTGCGCATGATGGCAAGTATTAAAACTGAAAAAATAATATTATTGATTTAAAAATCTGCCAGTAATGTTTGTGAAAAATTAACATTAGCTGTAAAAAATAAAATTATTTAACAGAGTTGAGACAGACAGAATAATGCTGACATTCACCCTAGAGAACCTTAACAATTGTAAGATTTTTTCTTTCACAAAGATATCATACAGATTTTAAGTTCACAGTGACATTTCAAATATTGGTTCCTTAATACATAACCTAAACAAATATTTAAAAAAAAAAGCATTGTTTAACTCCGAAAAAATTATTTTAATATGCTATTAAATGTAAATAAATATTTCCCCAAAAAAGTACACATTTTTTACATCAATACATTAAACTAATTGCATTTAATATATATCAATACACAAAATTTCTATTAATAACATACATAAATTTATACTCCTTTATTTCATAAAAAGTAAAAATAAAATTTTTAAAAAAAATTTAAGAGTGGACGGAGAAGAGTAGTTCTTAAAGCGAATTATGGCAGTCTTCAAGCATGCCTAATTTTATATGATGATTAAAAAATAAATAAAATTTAAAGAACATTATAGAAAATAAAAAAAAGACTAAAATATTCATTATAAATAACATATTAATAGCAACAAAAAAAAATATTTTAATATTCTCGATGATCAACAACTGTAATTCAATATTGATTGCAATGTGGAATAATTAAAATTTTAATGTTATTTGAAAAATATAAAAAAAAATAATTTGAATAAATGACCATTAAAAAAAGGTTGAAATTTAACAATTAAAAAAAATTAATTACATTCAAACATTGAAAAGTTCTTGCATGTTTGTATTCTCCACTTGTGTCAACATAGACATTTAGAAAATACAGTACTTGGAATATTAAAAATACATACTATATCATAAAAGATATATACCTGCTAGTGCTTTAATTCTGGATCTTTCAAACAACCTAGATGAGCTATTTCCACCATCATAATCATAGTCATCCAACTCCTGTTGATTAACAGGGTCCCACCGGACAGCAACAGATATATCTGTTGTCATGGCTCACTTATCTAATTTAATATAATTAAACATAATTAGAAAATATTTTTATTATATTGATACAATAATAGACAAATCAGTTTTTAAAAATATAAAAATTAAAAGAGTAAATGACACATAAGTGCTTATTGGGAGACCAAATAATTATTTTTGGTAATAAAAATGAAAAAATCTGATTATTTCCTGAACTACAACAGTTGCATAAAATTATTTTATAGTCATTCCAAAAAAGTCACATTTAATGTTTACCTTAATAATAAAAATTATTTAAAAATAATAATAAAGGGTTTAATATTTAAAAACAATGAATGAAACAATTTTGCATTTATGACAGAACTCATACTATAGGAGAAACTAAGAAAAATGCTGTATTTTTCTAGTCATTATGTGTGTGTAAAGAAGATAATAAGAGAGATAAAGATTAGAAGAAAAAAAATTTCTTTCTTTAGAAATAAAAATTATAATTTTCAGAATAAAACATCATTTAACTCTTAAAAAAAAAAAATTTGAAAAAATTCTTATTTAAATTATAATTAAAATGACTGAAATGAATAATTTTGTGAGTTTAAAATGGGACATCAAAAAATTGTATCAGCAACTATGAAAAAAAAACTTTTTTAAACAGTCCCTTTAAAGCAGATATTTGATATTCATGTTAAAAATTATATATGAATTTGATTCTTGATATAGTTTTTAAAAAAAATGATTTATAACTAAGATTCCAAAAATAAAGATAAATAAAAAAATTCTAGTTTTTTAATAGTTTTTTTTAAACCAAAAATGAATAGTCATCATTCTAAAACTTATGAGTCTGGTTTTTGTTTCATTTAAATAAATTTATCTTTATCAATGGCACATTTACATAACTAAGAAAAAAAAATGAATATCTTCTTGATTTCTCAAAATATATATGTACCTTCACTAAATAAAAACAAACAAACAAAAAATCATTAATTTGTCTTTATATTTACAGATAACAAGACAGGATGAACAAAAGGAAGTTCAGTAAAAAGAATCTTGAGACCAGCTCAGCAGACTCATTATTTAATTCAAAGGAACTCTACAGCTAATTTTGGACCTGAGTCATAAAAGTTTCATGCATCTATGACTTATCATGGTGATTATTAAAACAATAGGTTGCAGTAACTAGGGACTAAACACAAATTAAATTTCTTTCTCTTTATAAACTTAAAAGAACATTCTGTTGTTTCCCTTTTTTGTGTGAATAAACATACATATTTTATATGAAACTTTTGTGTGTACATTTGTGCAAAGACATAAATTCTCATTCAATAATGGCATAGGTTAGTTTGCTAATTTGTATAATTATAGTTTATTGCAACTATTTAGATTTATTTGAAATCACTGCATGAATGAAACTTGAATAAAATCTAGCAAACATGAACAGAAAAGATTTGAGCAGTTGACAGAATGGTTTTGGACAGGATGGTAAAAACCTTTGTTTTTAACCCGTACTTTGCTTTTTTGTTCATAACTTTGCCAAACCTCCACAAAAATACTCAATATTAAACTTGTCTTTCATAATTAAATTGTATGGTATTAATTTAGTCTCACTACATAAATATTATAAAATTGCAAAGATATTGTTTTTTTTTTTTTACAATTATCCATAATAGCAAAATATTACACATAAATTGTGTTAACTTCACTTGTATATTTCAATACTAATTCAATTTATGAAATACTTAAAAAATTATATTCCTTTAGATTAGTTTTAAAAATAAATAAAAGTTCAGTATCTTCTTTTAATTTCATTTAAATGTAATAATATTTAAATGTATCAACTAGTTAGTAAATTTAGTTTTTTTTTACTATACATTAATATTTCAGTATCAAACTATTGAAAACTTAATTTGTTATAATATTTCAAAATTCAAAGAAAATAAATAAACATAAGATACTTGAAATTTAAATTATTAAAATAAGACATTTTACTCATAACAAAACTACAGAAGATGGAAATTAATTTAAGGAAAGATTTCTGTATTGTTTTCTACGGCAGAATAATCGCCAAGTCTTGACTACTTCCGGGCAGCAACCTGGGAGAAACAATAAAAATATCACAAAAAGAGAACAATTCAAAGGGTATAACTCATAGTAAACCTCTCCATGTTTTCTAATTTTTCCCATTTAAAATCTATTTGGCTCCTTGGCAATTTTAGTTGGAATAGCAGATCACGCTACAGAAATATACCCCAATTTAATATTATTTTTCCCGAATGTATAGAGTACCACAGACTAATTTTTAACATTTTTAATTAATAACTTCACAATTTTTTAATAAATAATGAATTTCTATTCTTTTTAAGTAATATAATTGAGATCAAATCAAATAATGCAAAAAAAATTACATATCACAATGATTAGGAAATAATCCAGACTAAATTAAAATGCTATTTTATTTTTAATACTTATAAAAGTGAACCCTTTGAAGTAAAAGCTTTTACAACTCAAAAAATGATCTAAACTTCTTTATCAGATTTTTAACATAAGTTTGGAAAAACATCAAAATTTAAATTGTTTCATTAGAAAAAAAAAACATTTGCTTTATCAAATATTGATAAAGTAAATTAGGGGTGCACAACCTGCGGCCCGCGAGCCAAATGCGGTCCATCGGCTGTTGATGTGTGGCCCGCGGGAACTTCTGAAAGCTACAGAAAATTTTTTTTATTTTGTTTGAACAATATTAATTTTCTTAAATTAAAATAATTAATTCAAATTTATATTACTCTAAAATGCCTATATTTTTTGCACTTTCATTCTGCATGCTTCTTTTTGGTTAGAATTTATATCCCCCCTAATATTTATGTATATCTATATATATTTGATAAATTAATAATTGTTCAAAATCAAAAAAATTTTTTGAAAAAAGTGTGTTTTTTATTCAAATAATTAAAAGCATTTAATTTTTTGTTAATATGTTATTAAGTTAACTGATAGAAATATTAAGTACATAGAACACTAATATTTAGATAAAAATTATCATATTTGCCGCTAACATGACTAAATATGCGTGCTGCCCTTCGTTAATCTACCTGCTGTGCAAGTGGCCTTTTACTCAAAAAGGTTGTGCACCCCTAAAGTAAATTGATTTCTTTGATTAAATTTGAGATTTAATCAAAGAATTTCAAAGTAATTCCATTCTTTGTTCCAGATTGTTATAGAAACATATAACCATTAGTAAAAAAAAAAAAAAAAAAAAAAAAAAAAAAAAAAAAAAAAAAAAAAAAAAAAAAAAAAAAAAANAAAAAAAAAAAAAAAAAAATTTGAAGAAATAAAAAATTTACATATTGTGTATGTATTTTAAATACCTTATTACCAAAAGTGAACAGATTATAATTTTATTGATATTCATATAAAAGCATATGTATATTGTAATTGTTGATATTTCTATAACACGAGCTATGTCAAAATAATCGCCAAATCTTTGCAGCTTCCAGGCAATCGCTGTCTAAAAGAAAATGTCACGGAAGGGGATCAATTCTAAACGTATAACTAAAAATAACCCACAAACAAACCTCTACATGTTTATTTAAAAATAAAAAATAAACTTGCCGGCTTTCTATCTGGTACCTTGGCAATTGTAGTTAGCCTGATAGATCACAATAAGGAAATATACCCCCTTTTTCTTAATGTCAATCTGACATGGAATCACCCAACAATTATCATGAAAACTGCAGTTGGAACTATAATAATTATTGTAATATATTTATCAATGAGATATTTCCCTTGTCAGCATTAAATACATAAACAAATTTTATCCTTAATTAGAGATTTTAACAGCTACAAGAGAATGAAATTAAATCATGATACAACTGAACAAGCACACAATAGGATCTAAAATTGAAATATTAATATTTTCACAAACATACACTTTAGTTAGAATTATAAACTGCTTTAAGCGATTAGTACTAACCATCTGAGGCCTTTATATATATTATGATTTTACAGAAAAATAAAAACTATAATTTGTCCACATTTTAATAACTACAATTTTATTCAAGCTTTGGGAAGATTAATGTATCATGATCTGTGGCAGAATAATTGGCGATTCTTGGAAACTTCCGTGCAGTGGAGAAACTAAAAAAACATCAGAGAAAGGGAACAACTTGAAAGATATAACTCATAGCCACCCGCGGGCAAACATGTACATGTATCTTTTTTAAAAATTTGCAAGTATAAAATCTATTATTTGTCACCTTGGCGATTGTTGTTTGCGCAACAGATCACATAATCCCCAAAGTTTTTAAATAAAATTACTTTAACAACAGCAATAAACAACAGAATTAAATAAACTTATTCTCCATCTATTATTTCTACTAACAATATTATAGATAAAACTTGAAAATTTTGAATTCATTTCGAATAATAAAATAGCAAATACTACAAATTTAATAAAATTAAATATATAAAATAAAATATCCCAAAAATTATTAAATAATTTAATAATATTAATTACATTTAAGTCTAAGAAACTTGAAAATCTTTCATGCATTTTGTATATACAGTGAGATATTAAATACAAATACTAATATAATATTCTTTATACACATGAAATATTTTAAAATAACTTTATTTTTCCTCTAACATTATAATAATATTACATTGTTCGAAGCTTGAAAATATTGTATGAATTTCAAAACAGTGAAGAAGCAAAAAAACAACTACCTACTTTAATAAATATGCTGATTGCATGACTCAAAAATGCTAATCATAGACATGACATAACAATAGAGTAATGAAGACATTTTTAAATGATAAAATTAAGTTGAAATTAAAAAGTAAGCTGGAAATATATAAACATTAAAAAAAATTAATACATCTGACTTCCCTGACCCATAAGTGTGACCGATTAAATAGGACTGTATATGTCAAATCTTTCTGTAAGTAACGTAAAAAATAAAAACTATATCATAAAAATCAAACATTAAAAGATATTCGTGGAAAAATGCTTCAAATAATACAAATTTAGAATCTTGGTAAATATAGCTAGCAATACACGGATGAGCAAACTTAATAAACCCGGTGTTGACCCCACCCATTATTTACTATATAGAAAGGAAAGATAGCTTTAATTACTTTAAGCCTAACGATAAAATCGTTTTCTAACAATTTATTGTAACTTTAAATAACATATATTTGTATATGTAATCGCATAGATTTCATATTAACTTACCTTCAACCACCACACAAACTATGAATTTATAAACAGACAGGTTAACAGTGAAAACAACCCCAGCATCAAACCAGAACAGTTGACTGCGGTACGATCAGACCGCTGTTGCGGAAGAATATTTTAACCCCACCCTTCGGAAGGAAATTATATTTCTTGCAATAGTTCTAGAAACAATCATCTAGCAATAAATAGATAGAAGATGCAGGAAGAATACTTCCGGACGATGCTTAAAATTTTACAGCTAAATTTTCGATGTGCATTTGGTAAAGAGACTCTGGGAAAATAGGAAGTCTGACGTCACACTTTAATATAGAAACTAACCTATCCCGGCGTTCAATTTTAGGAGGTGACGTATTGTCATTGGCTCTGACTATGTGATGTGTAAAAACTGTAGACTAAAATAGTATAAAAAAATTTTTATAAAATATCATAACCAAAACTGAGTTTTTTTATAAATAAGAATATAACAATAATGCGAAAGATTATGATAAGCTATTCAAGACCGGACTATTGTTTCCATTTAAATAAATAAATACGTTTTCCTTCCCTTTAATTTTTTTTTTCTTTCCGATGCTGTTATTAACATTTCTTCAATGTTTTTCCTAATATTTTAGGGAAAAAACCTAATTAATACCTAAAATTCCTCTAAAAAATTTTTATTTATTTGATAATCATTCCAGCATCAGCAGAAAGGTCTGCCCCCTCCTCTCCATAGAAAAATCTAAGGTTGCGTCTTTTTTTTTTCACGAATTGAATTTTTGAATGAAAAAAAATTTTTTTTCACTGGGTTCATTACCATGACTTGGCATTTATAAAATTCTGTTATGCAAACTACAGGCAGCCGTTAATTTATAAAGTGCAATTCCGAGAAAGAATCGTTATTACTGTCCTTACCACCACATTTTTTTAAAATTTTTATTTAATTAGGAATTAAAAGCAAAAAAATATTCACCTGTTATTTTTATTATTATTTTTAATTATCAATTTTTGATTTAATTTTTTTAACTTTCCGTACAAACTTAATTTTTATTAATAAAACAAGTATAAATTTTATTCAGCATTCTACAAATTAAATGGACGTAATTATTATGCCCCTCACTATAATAATATTGAGCATAATAATTCTGAACCTATAAGTTTTGTATGCAATAAACTTGTCCTCAGCGACTTGTGAGTCAGGGGCGACTGGATGGAAGAAAGCAGGAGGTCGTTGTGACCTCCCAAAGATTTTCACTATCCATTTTCATCAAATTTTGTCTAGCCGTTCGGCATATTTATGAAATTACATTATTTTCTCTCTCTATTTCTTTCTCTCTCTCACTCTCTTTTTTTTTTTACTTTTTTTTAATTTTTTTTATTATTATTTTTTTTGTAGAAAACTCGATTGAAATTAGTCAGGCTGGTCGATACGAATTCCGCATCCGACTTGTACCAACCACAGTGCCGGCGTAAAATAGCCTCCGTGGTAAACGGATCATGCATTAGAGTCCCCTTGCCGTCAGGCTAACCATGGGAGGTTTTAGTGGTTTTACTCTCCATGTAACGCAAATGCGGGCTATTTCTACCAAGAAGTCCTCCAAGAAGGCAATTTCTTCCAATACTTGATCCAGAAATTCCCTTGTCTTCTGGATTGGGTTCAAAATTACAATTCTACGAAGTTGAACATTAGTAGTCGTAAATCAAAGAAACAATAGGGTCGGCTGTTCAACAACAGTTATAAAATAATATAAAATATTACACCTTTAATTTTTAACTAACGTTTTTTAAATAGCGATGAAAAAAGTATTCACAAATATCATCTCTGGTTACCAAAGGTATCCAGTCCCTCTCTAAGGCTGATGGGGGCATTCCCCTATATTTGAAAAATCTTCCCCATTTTCGCAAGCAATAAAAATACGTATAAAATTTTTATTTAAAGCAACGACTTTTTTTAACTATGTCTGATCTTTCTAAAATAGATTCTCGGTTAGAAATATTTTGTCAGACATTATTTTCAGATGACGAAATCAACATTCTGAAAAAGAATTGATAAAAAAATAAAAATAAGAAAACGCTGGAAAAAAAACACATTGTTATGCAAAACTGATATACAAAATGGTGATGTGATCTTTAAATATTATATCAATTTAATGACCAATTCGATTCAGGCCGCTGATCCCAAATTTAATTTAATTAAACATTTCTTCAATTGGAACTAGATTTTCATTTTTAAAAAAAATCTATTTATATTCAAGGATTAATTTGAAATGGATGGAAAAGAAAATTTTAAAATTCAGCATTTCTTTTATTTATTTATCTCCAACGATAGTATATTTTCATATATTATGCATCAATTATTAGCAATATTCTCTGAGTGTTAATCTTATGATAAGTCAAAAATATTTACAAAAATTATTTCTTCAGGATACATTTTTTTTAAAAAAATTTTTTGTTTAAAAAGTATCCTTTTATATCAATATCATATCACAATACGATATGTATTAATAGTGATATTAGAAAATTCTTACAGCTTATATAGGAGTGTGAAATAAAAGTCCTTACAAGTATGAAACGCCAAAGGATCCTTCGCGCAAACTTCAAACTAATCCTCATAGAAAAATTATTTTTAAAATATTATGGAATTAATTTATCAATATTTAATTAGTCAAACTAAACTTTAATTAATTTTTAATAGTTAATTTTTAATACTTTATTAATTAAAATAAAATTTAATTAATTTTTAATAGTTAATTTTCAATACTTTATTAATTAAAATAAAATTTTATTAATTTTAAGGATTAATTTTTTAATAATTAATTTATAATTTAATCAATTTTTAATATTTAATTATATTATATTATTTAATTTATTAAAATGAAATTTAATTGATTTTTAATATTTAATTATTGTTAAATTTCTTACAATAAAATTTAATTGATAATTAATATTTAATTAATTTACAGCATTTAAATAATTCAGGCTCGATTTTTCTCTGCGATGTTCTTCTTCCGTTTTTTTTTTTTTTTTTTTTTTTTTTTTTTTTTTTTTTTTTNTTTTTTTTTTTTTTAACTCGATTGATTAATTGAAGTGACTAGACTTATAAAATTTTTCAAAATCCACAAGTTTCTCTGTTTTGCTTCTAACTCTTCTTCATTTTATTCAGAAAAATCTTTTTCTTCCGCCTTTAACAAGATACTTTATGTTATTAATGTTGCAATTAATTTCCAATAGTTCGTAACCTGGTAAAAAGGAATTTATTCTTCTATCAAAATTCAACAGTTTCTCCCTTAATATTAACTTTGAAAAGAGGCTTGTTAATACTGCACTGCAGTCATAAAAAAATAAAGATATGTTGCGTAAAAACTTAGGTTTCTTTCAAGACTTCAACAACTTTTTCAACTTTTGTAATAAAAATGATCTAAATAATAACCCCACTAAAGAAGGTCCCTCAGAAAAAATTAAAACTAATGTTTTTATTCAATAAATCAACTGATTATAAATGTGCTTCACTTATTATGCAAATTTTGAATTGAAGATATAATGAACACGGCTGGAAAGATTAATCCGCACTACAAATGAAAATTCAAAAAGTATTCCCCGACACAAAAAAAGAAAAAAAAAAAAAACAGATTTTTTTTTTTTGAAACCTAACCTATTAACCAAAAAAGCTCCCCTTCCCCTGGAACTAAACCAAAAGTTACCTGATTAAAGGCTTCATTTGCTTCAAAATTACGCAAAAAGTAAATAACAGTCGACATGTTTCGAGCTCTTCAAAAACAGGCGCCAAATTTCAAGACCTGTCAAACGTGAATGAAAAGAAATCAAATTTCATCTCATTCACGTCTGGCAAGTCTTGAAACTGGGCACAAGTTTTTTAAAAGCTCGAAACATGTCAACTGTTATTTACTTTTTATGTTTTTTTGATGTGAATGAACTTTTCAATCAAGCAACATCTTACCGCTTCAGTTTCTTGGGATTATTTATTAAATTGTAAATGCAGATCTCTTATTTGTTATTTTTTGTAATTGTAAAGTAGAACATTGATGATACAATAAATTTGGCTGGAAAAATATCATCCCTCCAATATTAATCCCGAACTTTCTCTGGTGCTTGCGTAAGAAAGTAGCAACAACTTAACCTCCTGTTTTATGCTTTAACATTGACATTTACTATAGTAATCTAGTTATGGGATAAAATTCAAATAAAAGAGATGCACCTTCGTATATAAAATTAAGTTCACGTTCTAATTAAGTTCATAAAATTTTGAATGGAATATTCTTTAGAAATCTTTTCTTTTTATAATTCCTGACCTAAATAGAAACTCTACAAAGAATTTTTTTTTCTTTAATTTTCTCTTTCTCTAAATTCAATTTATATTCCACACGTGATTTTTTTTTCATGTGCTATTATTTTGCTGCATATTTCATTTTACATTTAAAAAAAAAACTTAAAAATAAGGGAATTAAGCAAATAGCAGCCACCCCCTCCCTCTGTTAGGTGCTTAAGTAATATTTGAACTGCCATTCCTATAAAGTGAATTTTAAAAATGCAAATTCCTACGACATAATTTGACTACTACTATTATAAATTTATGGACTTCGTGGCAACCTTATAATAATAACGTTTGATATTTAAAGTATTTTTAAAAATTCTAGTGTGCTAAATTTACTAGTGTACTTATGTTAAAGTGATTTATGGAAATCGACGATATCACATAACGAATTTATTTAGAATTATTAGTTTATTCTTTAAAAAAGAACAGATTGAATAACGGAGAAAAATGCTTCGTCTCTATTTTTTAAATAGCTATGCCTATTTTCTTAAGCGCGCATTTCAAGATGCATCCATTTTCCTAAAAACGCATTTCGAGCTGCATGCAAAATAAAAAGCTCATCGAAGATTGGTATTTTAAATGAAGATGAAATTGGAAGAAATCATGTTGAACTCGCTTCTTTGCGACTCCCTAAATTAATGTCTAAGAAAAGTGCAATTTGGCAGAATAAAAATCTTACAGAAGATTTGCCATCTTGTGCCTTTAGTGTATAGATTTACCAGATAAGGAATCGCATCAACGAGGAAACATGAAACAGGGAGTTCTTCAAGTAAAAGTTAATTCACGATTTCCATTTATTCAATCGACGATTGGTAATTTGAATGAAGATGGAAGTGGTAGAAGTCGTGCTCTCGGACTCACTGCTTTGCGACTCCCTAAAATAATGTCTTAGCGAAGTGCAATTAAAGGAAATAAGAATCGTACCAAAGATTTGTCATTTTTTGCCTTTGTAGTGTATAGATTCATCATATAGAGAACCGCATCAATGAAG